ATAGCATCAAAGCATCTATTTTTTGAATAGTAGTTAAAAGGTGGAATAATAATAAAGTGAATTCCACTTGGACATTCATCAAAAGAAGAGAATAGAATCATTACAAAGAATGGTAGCAATTACATTTAATAATATCAAATTTCATAACCTCTATATTCCTTTTTTTCATTACATTCAATATTATTAAATGAGAAGTTGTTTAGATTTAAATTTGTGTTAATTAATAATTAATCTAATAATATAATTACCTTCATATCCATTTCTTCCCTTTATGAGTGTTTCACGTTTTTAAAAACAAAAGGCACTTGAAAGGTGAAAAAAAAACATAAAAATAGCAAAAGCTTCCAAGAATGAAAGATTGATGCTAAGCAATGATTTTGTCCAAGAGGCAAAGTTTCCAACTTTCCTAGCAAAACCAAACCATGAGAAAAAAAAAACCCAAAAGGGTTTCAAAGAGACAGAGAAATTGAAATATGTCGCTGACCATACCCTTTCTTTTTAGGTTTGCCCTAGAAATATAAGTGCATATATGCCCTAAACCCATGATTTAAGAGGGTGGGTATTAGGAGAAAAAGCTGGTTTTTATATTGTACGAAACCCCTTTTAATGGGTGGTCTTGTAATAGCATGCTTAAGGCATCATTTTTATGGTCCATTTGGCTCGTTAATGCATCACCAATTCTATATCATGATGATGTTGCCATAACTAAGAACATTCTGAAGGCAACCCTTCTTCAATTGTTGCCTATAGGGACTACAAATTATTGTCAATCATGTAATTGTGTTTTCTTTTTCGTTGATTCATTACCTTGCACATGTAGTTTTATAATTTAACTCAGTTGTGGTGCAAGTGCAAAAAATTTAGCTTAGGTCATTTCCTATGTTTTTACTTGGTTATAAGACCATTTGTAAAAATAATAGTGTCTTAATACATTTTGTAATTTTTGAATAGAGACAGAAAATTGCTTGATTTTGCCTAACTCAATCCGATTTGATTTAAATAGGATGGTTTTTTTAACATCTTAGATGTTTTGTTCCAAATACAAAAATCGAGGATATTTCTGACCATATACTACAAAAACGAAAAAGATAAAGTTAGAACACTTTTTAAAGAATTATTAGTATTATTAGTTTGGTTCATAAGCTTGGATATGGGTCCGGTCTAAGCAAATAATTTTCAAAATTATATTAGGAGGACGAGGACAGGACGGAGTGGATATATTAGTATTATTAGTTTGGTTCCTAAGCTTGGATTATGGGTCCGGTCTAAGCAAAATTAATTTTCAAAATTATATTAGGAGGCGAGGAAAGGACGGAGTGGATAATATAATATATATATATATATATAATATATATATATATATATAATATATATATATATATATTTATATATTATTTTTTGTTATAACTAAACAAACAGAAAGTCCACTAAATAAGATAATGGACCTGAAATCAAGCCCTTTAGGGACCAGACTGCAATTATTTAACAAGCCCATCAAAAGCCCTGTAGTTTAGTAACACAATCCAAATGGGCCTTTAAATTAGTCTCAAGCATTGGATTTCCACACTCATCCACAGTCTTAAATATTGTCTGCCTCCAATTGGTTATATTTAATAATATATTTTTAATAAAATTTCTTTATATGATTAAAAATGAATGAACTTAAAAATAAGTATTAGTATATTTCTGTTGATGCGAGAAAAGTTATGCTATGAGTATTTATAAGTTAAAATTAAATTATTTAAACATATACTTATAAGCTAGTTATAACTTTCTCAATTTAAAGGTACTTTATTATTTGTTTATTTGAAAAATAAAATAAATTAAAAATATAAAAAGCACAATATAACATATCAAAAAATAAATTATGAATTAAAGATAAGTCTTCATCCATCTCATTATTACAAGCCTAGCGCATAAAATCTTTATTCAGCTCCATAAAGCCCATTGGCCAGTAGTCCTCTCAGCCATTAACTTCGACCCATAAAAGGAAGACTGAAAAAACTGGGATTTTAGAGTTGCCATATTCCCGCCAACATCATGCACAATTGTAGTCGGATTCTTAGGAAAGTCAACCACACGCATCATGCAACCAAGAGCTATTGGACTGAGAATTCCGGGGATTGGGGAGTCTTATCCGATCATCCCACTCCGGTGTAAGCTTCTCCTTCCTCCTATGTAAGGGGTGTGAGTCCATCATTCCTACGCATGGTGCCATACCATGGTGATCCTATGAATAAAATAAGACTATTGGAGATAAGAATAGCATGTTGGATGGTATTTGGACTAAGAATATGATAGAGGGACCTGACGTAATGCTCTTCACAGTCCCGGGGCCGGTATGCTGGACTGAGCCTTAGTGAGCTAGGATGCGGGCATTATGTTCTATCAAGAGGGACTAATGTCTCCATATGGACACTATAGGCCAAAGGCCTATAGTGCGCATCTCTCCTCAAGTAAAGGTTTCAGTATAGACAGTTCTATATTGTCCAATATGCCTTAAAGCTTTGAGCTCATACTCGGTTGTGCGAGACCCTTATATATATATATTACATAATGAGTTCTGTAATCGGATATTATGCAAAAACCTCCGAATTTATATCCTTTTGAATAATAAAATTAAAAAACTAAAAAAAAAAAATATTAGATATTTCATGTTGGGATGATATTGACAAAATATATAAATGTTCATAGTAGCAATTAGTCCATTGACAGAAATAAGCCATGTGGTAAACAATAAGATTGGAAAACACTTTTGATGCTAATTTGAAAAAAACAAAAAGAAAATCCTATGATTTTGTTGTTGAAGGAATCTTTGACCCACCCAAGTTTATGATAAGATAAGGTAGCTGAATATAGTGGAACAAATAGGCAAAACCTGATTTTGAATTAACTCAAAACTTTATTCATCTAATTTAACGAACTATTTTTGAAGCATTTTACATTTTTAGTATTTTTTTTTTTTTTTTGAATATCTTAAATTTTAGTAGTTAAGGAATGAGAATGAGATTTTTATTGTACATTTATTTTTTTTTCTATTAACAAAAAGGTTGATAGTTTGTAATACGCATTGGAATAAACCATGTAACAAAAATTTTTGAATTTTTCCTCTAAATCGCTACTATGAGACATAGTTTTTTCCTATAAAATATCATTTTGGCTTTTATGTTATATATTTTCTTTTGTCTATTATATTTTTTCTCTCTCTTCTTTGGTTCATTTTTGCTCTTTAAGCTATAAAAAAATCAACTCCAATAATCGTACCAAGACATTGCATTTCCACCATACCAAATCAAGATTATTTAATGAAAATTTCAACTTCATTTTTTTTCTCTTTTTCCATTCTTCTTTATTTATATTATCGTGTTATTTATGGAAAATAATATTTGATAATATTATAATAATATTTATTTCACATTTGATTCAAAATCATATAATGTGTTATTTATTTCTAATAGTGTAATAAAGATAATCATACGATTATTATAAAGAATAAGCCTTCTTTAATAAATTAATTTATAGTAAATATGTTAATATGGATATTTTGTACTAAATAATCTGAATAGATTATAAATTTTATTCCCTATTCTATATATATATTCTAAATAAAGTTTCTATATATATATATATATATATATTTTAATAAATTAATTTATAGTAAATATGTTAATATGGATTTTATTTTGTTGTACTAAAATAATCTGAATAGATTATAAATTTATATTCCCTAATTCTATATATTATATTCTAAATACAGTTTCTATATTTATATATTATATAATATACAAAACTAAAAAATATATATATATATATATATATATAAAAAACTAAAACTAAAACATGATCTTGTGATGGGGTTTGATAAGTCTGTCGTCCATCCAAAAAAGAATAATATATTATACAAAAGTGGGTATAGACAAAATGAAGTTGCTGGGAGAAAGCAATTAGGCACTAATGTTTTTATTAATAGGATAAAAATCACAACTCGAATAATGATAATAATAATAATATATCCATCTATGACTTGTTGTGATATTGCTAATTGAGGATTATTAGCAATTAGCATTAATCTAATCTGCACATATTTTGTGCTCAGAGCATATATGCGTTTTATTCAATAGGTGGAGAGATCCATTGGAATTTGGATACTGCCTTCAATTCCTTTTCTTCATTGGAATTTGTATTTTTCATACGCTTCCACTTTGCAAGTCATTGTTTTTTTTTTTTTTTTTTTTTTTTTTTTTTTTGTTTATTTGCAAGTCACTTATTGTACTTAAATAATAACGCACACTTTTTATATTAATTTGAATAATATCTTTATTTGTTAGAAATAAATTCTTAATATTTTATTTATTTTATATTTATTTTTTGTAGAACCAGGAGGGACATTCCTTTGAGCTGCAAGAGTGATAAAAGATTTTTTTGTACATCATCCCAAAAAGGTCGAATTTTGGTTTGAAAGTCGTTTTACGCTAGTCTACATCATAATATTGTTTTTTTTTTTTTTTTTTTTTTTTTTTGTTATATTTGCAAGTCACTTATTGTACTTTAATAATACTGCACACTTTTCTATATTAATTGAATATATACTTTATTTGTTAGAAATTAAAATTCTTATAATTTTATTTATTTATATATTTATTTTGTAGAACCAGGAGGGAATTCCCTTTGAGCTGCAGAGTATAAAAGATTTTTTTGTCATCCCAAAAGTCGAATTTGTTTGAAGTCGTTTACTATCCTAATCAATATATTGTAGGTTTGACAATTTCCATTTTTCTTAAATGTTTTTCATATATAATGGTCTTAAATTTTTAATTAATTATACTTCATCACTAATTTTAACAGTATTGAGAACTATTTATTATTTGCATAAATCAATTTTGATTAGAATTCAGGGTACGGAACTATTTATCTTCAGCTAAGGGCACAACTGACTTTGCATATAAACAAAGTTGTGTGGGGTATTTATATCAGTCGCCAAGTGCACTCTATCACTCAGCTAAAGAAATGGAGAATCCTTTCTTAACCATTGCAGCAATTGCATTTTACTTGAGTGTTAGCAGCCACATGGTTTTCTATGGGCATGCAGTTGAATCACCCAAGTACACATTGATACACTCTGAATCAGATTATGAGATCAGGCTCTACAAAGATATCTTATGGATGTCTGCTCTTCTTCAAGGAACCTCTTCCTTCCAGTTCCAGAAATCTACCAAAGATGGCTTTCACAGGTTTACAAATTAATAATTAATTTAATATTTTCTTTAATTACACATATTCTAATATACTTGTCTTCTTCTATCAGGATTTACCAATACATACATGGAGCAAATCTGAACTCTTCTCAACTACCAATGACTGCTCCCGTCTTAACAAGCATCACAACATCAGCTTCTAACACTTTATACTACGTAAAGTTGTTTCTATCTAAAGGCAATCCTCCACAGGCAAATCCTGAACTGAATTTGCAATTAGACAGATGGAAAGCTCAGTGTATAGCAGTTAGAAAGTTTCCAGGTTTTGCTGAAGATAATAATGTTAAGAAAGAAATGGCAGGGTTAGTGGCAAGTCTAAATAAACATTTGACTACTACTGGACAGATGGCTGCTTTAGATGGTAACAGTTCCTATACCATTGCTCAGTACAATTCTTCACGAATCGCTTCGGGAAGATTAAATGAAGTGTGGATTGATGTTTCAGGTTTTAACGTAGAGGGATGTTTATATTGATGTTCTCTGCATCGTAACGTGTTTGATTGTGCATACAAGAGAAACAATGTAGGGATGAGATAGTTTCTCTGTTGTTGTGTGCCTTGTTTATCTGTTTTGAAAAATCGAATAAAAATAAATAAACATATTTAATACTAATAATAATATATTTTTTACATTTTTGAATAAAATGAAGCCAAAAAAAACTATAAATAAAAAGGTCGTCTAAGCTCTAATAACACGGCAATGGAAAAGTCCAATGTAAAAACAAATTAAATTATAAATTATTAATATTTTTCAATTGCAACTTATTCGTATCTTCTCTTTTTAATCAGTTGTCCTCTCTATGATTTTCTCATCTATATAAAATGGAATATGCCAATTGGGCAAAATTCGAAGGAGATAAAAGAAAAGAAATATGAATATTACATCTGTGGTCTTGTCTGAACCACATATAATTTACCATCCCTTATCACGCCTTCAATGTCTTGTGGAGATCCATAGAGCTCCTCAATTACACTTCCTGCACGAGCAATGTCAGAGAGTATTTTTTGTCGAAAGTTGCCGTCAGTGATCAATGGATCAGTCGAGTAATCAAGCACAACTTGTTCTTCTTCATCCATTGGAACACTGCATAGTAGATTGCTTCTAGATCAATTTGATATGGTTTTCAGGAGCCACAAACTATAATTTGGGTAATTCAACTTTATGAAACTCAATATGATTAAATCATAATTCTATCATTTATAAATAAATTCTATACTTCAAATTCATTTATATAAAGAAATGCAGATTGTAACCGATATAGCAAAGTTTCACAAAATTTCCTGCCAGTTGTAAAAGAGTTTACCTATCGTAAAGGCCTGCACCAGCATAACCTTCTAGATCTTCACCGTTGGAGTCAGATCTGAAGATGATAGAACGTCTTATAAAGAGGCCAATGGGTTTACTTGGATAACCTGATAACTGAAAATGCCAAAGATTATTAGCCCCAACGGTAGCATATTCGTAAAATATTATAAATGATGGGACTGCAGGTTGACTCGGAATTTTTGCTTTACCCAGAAATTTGAGAAATGAAATAGCTACTGTTACATATACAATGACTTGAAGGAATAAGAAGAGAATAAGCAATTTCTTTTTTTTTTTTAAGATTTCATCCTTCCCCTAGTAATTAATAGAAAGATGTTTACCTGAGGAGAGTTCAGATCTTTTTTCTTGCAGACAAAACTCAGAGCACGACCAGGATAGGCTCCTACTAGAGTTTCCCCGAGTCCCTTCACTACCTATAGTAGCATAGATTGGAAAATCAATTCCTTTCATTAGGGAAGTGTAAAAAGCACATCAGAAATAAAATACCTCAGCATATATCTCTGATGAATCTCCTGAAGATGGATTGGTTGTGTGGATAACAAATGCATAGTCGGCATTTATTATCTCCTGTACCAGGACAGCCATGCAGAGGTAATCATGGTCTAACTTTACTTTCCTTGTGCTGAAGTATGCTCTCTCATTCCATTTCGAAGCCCAGACCTGATATGGAAATATGTCAAATATCATTATCATGCACAAAAAGGAACTTAAATTTCCAAGAACTTTGCAAAGAACAATCATGGTCAGAGCTTCTCAAGGCAAAGAACAAGAAAAGCACACACGACAGGAGCAAGGAGATACTAACTATACTTTTGAATATTTGGATCTCTAGAAGGATCTTAGTATGGCAGAATCATGATGCTAATTGTAGTAACGTGATTAAAGTAGAGGAATAACTCTCACTTGTTATAAAGACATATGGATAAAAACAAACTGGTGAGGCAATCAAAGTGATGGTCATTATTTGAGATGCTCCACTCTGGTAAAGCAGTGTACCTTCTTTATAGCCATCCATGCTTGCTGCCACCGCTGTTCACCTTCATCTCCAGGCCAAGGCATGCCAGAACTTTTCATTTTTGTCTTCAGCTCTTGCACCTGAAATTAAAGATTGCCTATTAACTATCATTTCTAAATTGAACCAACCCCAATTGAAGCCCTGGTGTATTTCCATTTCATTTGACTTCCATTTCATATTTACCAATAAAAATAAAATGTTCAGAAACAACTTTGTTCTATGGGTGGTATCACAAAAAGACAGCCTCACTAAATAGGCACATAAAAACACCTGCAAGTTGAACCAAACCTGTTGTGTGTGGTCGATATCTTGGAAGGAAAGAGGATAGAGCAAGGGAGCTAGAGAACACAAAGTTAATTGCAAAAGGCTTTCTTTTAGAAAATTGCATCTCTTCAAAATAAATTATGCGAATATTCCTAGGAAATTTTAGGTTAAGCTAGTAAGAAATACGTTTCATAGATGATATCAAAGCAGGTCATACATGTTAGGTGAAATGTATATCCATTGTTATCAGTAGAAAGAACATACCAACTGAGGTGGTGCTGTTAGCTGTAAAACTGTCTTATGAATCTCCGCAAGAGCACTAAAGTCTTCCTCTCCTAACTTTTTCTTCAACTGTTGCAACTTCTTAGCCACTTCCTGCCAAGCAAGGAAAATGGTGGAGGTGGAAGAGGGAACTTGTCAGACAAGAATACCCAGAACAATTACTAGGGTGAAACCTTAGATCCCAAAATGTACACTGTCACATGCATTCAGCAAAAGCCATGTCAAAAAAAACTAAAGTTTCTGGTATAAAAACTTTCACTAATTTCATGAGAGTTGATTGTCCTAATCAAAATATGAGAAGTTGCTGACAACTAGCACGACTCAAATCAGCCAAGCTACATATTGAGGGTAGTTGATCTTGCAAATAAGCTACATATTTTCCTAGAAAATACTTTGAAGCATAAGATCCAAGCATCAAAAAATGTTTGCTCACTTTTACATGATACTTTATGGGAAACACTTACCAATTATCATCAAGAAGTGCTTGTCAAGATAACAAATCTGTACAGTATAATGAAAAAAAAAAAAGTGTAAAATGTGCATCTCACACATTGACTTCCTGGCTCTATGTTAGGCTTATTAGGTCTACCCGGTTCCTATACAGTGTCCGATTAACCCATTCCTATTTAGTTACTTAAATCTTTCCAAGAAGAATTTATCCTCATATGGCATAACCACTACAATTGGACAGATATAAGAAATAAGAAATAAAATAAAATAAAATGGAAAAAACTAATTAAAGAAACACCCCACCAGTCAAATTTGAATTGGTTAGCTATCAGCCTATAACAAACAACAAATCACATCATCTTGGAAATATTAAAACATTCTGAATTAGCATATGGTAAAAAATTGTTGCTTCACAGGAAACTAAAAATGCATTAGAGCAACTGGAAATTTCAAGATAGATTACCTGATTTGAACCATCTGAAAGAACCTTCTCGAAAACTCCAAAAGGTAATGCAACCGATGTAGGAATCCCAATCCATGATGGGACTTTTCCTTTTAGATGTGAGATATTGCGAGATTTCGCACCAACCTAAGGAAATGATCATCAGGCAAAGCATACCGATTCAGTAATTGATATTGAGAATGTTTTTTTTTATCTATTAAAGCACCCAAAAAAATAGAAAAGAAAAACGAAAAGTTGGGAAAGAAAGATATCCTAAAACATAATTTTGGATACCATTTTTCCTTACCATTTCACTGGTGAACTCCTCAGATGATATGGCATACCTGCCACAGAACTCCTTCTTGACCAGCTTTATAGGTGAAGAACCAACTTCTTTCAAGTTGGTTGAACTTGATGCTATCTCACCCTCTTTTAGTTCACTGAAATTTAACACGAAAAAGATTGAATTTCAAATCTGCAATTTCTTTGAGGGTCAGAAGCATTTATTGAATTGCAAACCATGAGACACAAAGACAGGCATCCCAAGAAAAAATAAGTCAGGGTTACCTATAGACTACATCTGCCGATGTGGGTTTCAGGGATAACAATTTCCCTTCATTTGCACGGATTTTGTCCAGAATGTTGTGATCAAAGCATGTGGCAAAGCAAACCTGTCGTTATCAACATGCACATCTCAACAGTTACCCATCCATTATTTAGAGAAATAATCACAATATAGCATGTAACTACCTTGCTATTTCTTGCTCGCACAGAAACATGGGATAGGACATCTGGCATGTCTGGTGTCAGAACTGCAACTGCACCATCTGGAATTTCTTCTTCTCCTGTTACTCGTCTTGCCACTAAAATCGTGGGGCGGTCATAAGATTTATTCTGTACTGTGAGTAACTCATCCACAACAACAACGTACCCAGCAGCTTCAACTGGACTAATAACCTGCCAACTGTTTCAGGCCAACCAAATTTTTAAGTGGCATACAGTGCTAAGAAATCCCATTATTTAGGTCCCCTTTTATACTATCCTTTATTTATATTAGTTAGAACTCTATCCCATTAATACTCGAGATAATGAATACTGCACCTACTTTCCAAGATGAGCAGTCTTCCGAAGAACTGGATCAAGTCGATTGAGAAGTGAGGACAAAGCCGCAGCTGATCCAGCACGAATAATTTCTTCTGTGAATATGTTCACCTATAATCAATTGAGAATAGCATAAAGTCCAAAATAGTTTATACACAATTAAAGAAAAGAATTTTGAGTTAAGATAATTAAAAACATACAGCCCACTGGTCCACACAAAGCCGTGATCCAAGATACTCTGCTGAGGGTTGCAAAACTTGCTGATACCACTCAGCCTTGCTAGCTAGGGCAAGGCGAGTTCTGTCAAGTACTGATTTCGCATACAATGCCCAGTGATCACTTTTACTGTTGGACATACTTAAAGCACGATTCCATCCCTGCACAAGGAAAGAAATATTAAAGACCACGGGAAGTGGCCTATTTATCAAAGAACACTGGAAATGACAAATCATATGGACAGACATAGTAAGATGTTCAACAAAAGGTAAACACTACAGCTGAGGCATCAAAGATTATTAAAATTCAACTCTACCTTCATGCAATTGATAAGATCTTCATTGTTATCCGATGAAAGTGCAAGATTTTCAAGAACCAGAGTGATGAAATGCATAATTTTCTGCAAAATGAACAACAAGAATATATAGGTCAGAGATGAAACTAAAAAAAGACATTAAGAAAAATTAAGACAATAATTGATCAAGAATAACATCAAAAAATCTTATAATTGTTGATGACAAATTTACCTCTGGCCCTGCATCATTTAATTCCTCATAACCTCTCTCGATGGCTGTCCTGACAGCAGAATCAAGAGCAATATCCAAAAATAAAAGATCCTTAAGGCGATCCTTAGGCTTAAACAGCAGTGGCCTAAGCTCCTGACGAGCTTCCAGCAAACCCTGCATTTCAAAAATTAACAACAATTGGTAAATGTTAGACTACATTTGCAAACAGTAATATCACTTCTGACTCGGCGATACTTAAATTTGCCAGTACCTCAAGAAGTGCTTCAACATTTCTATCTTCAATATGTTTCAGAACAAACTGAAGCAATTCCTGATCGAAAAGATACAGAGTATACACAGCTGGGTTTCAATAATTCTCTCTAACCAACAAATACACAAGGAAATAAAGTTGAAAACATTACTGGAAATCCAGATGGCAAGCCTGAAATGGGATTTATCTGCACTCCAACCATGAACCCTTGACCCTGAAGAGAATTGGGAATAAAAAAAAAATCTTTTAACATCATAGGAGAAAACAATCGAGTGGAAAACTTCAGCCAGGACAGGGCACTACCTCAGCTCTGTAGCCCATACAATTTGCAATAGCAGACTCAAGATCTGCACCTGAATGTACAGCCTACAATCAAATTGGAATAAAATCAACATTTTGAAGCTGATAATGAATATTAAAGGAATTTCAACCAACACCAGAAGAAATCATTTGATCTGAGGAACCATAAACAAAAAGAGAACGTTTCATTACTACTATTTCCACATAATCATGATTGATATTGCATGTTAAAATATGTGAGCTATGTATATATGCATATACATGAAGCATATGGTTTCTTCACACTATTTAAAATACATAAATAGATTGATAAGACGAATTATATCATAGTAAGCACAAAGTTCCATTTTCTAAAGAATACATGCATATGTTTCACAGAATGCTTAAATATAAAGATATAGAATACAACTGTGAACAAGTTAATGGCTGAATACATAATTTAACTGTTGAACTTTGACAAAAAAACCTTTTTGGCATTTTGAATTTTAAAAACAACCTTGTGGCACCCTAAATTTCAATTTTTGTAATAATCTCACACCTCTTTACACTAAACACAACATTTTTTAAGGTTTTTGGCCTTGATATGCAAAATATTGATTTGGTATATGGTTAATATAACTTTTGAAATGATAATATTTACATTTCTTAAAAATCCAACAAGTGTTTAATCGATCTAATCTTACAAGTTGAGGGGTTCAATGGGTCAACCAAAGTGTTTAGAAGATACAATAAGTTGAAGTGTTTAATGGGCCACAAGGTTTTTCATGAAAAGTATACGGGTGAATTTATGTATTGTGCCACAGGTTAACTACAATTTCAAGTTTAACAGAAATTTATGTAGAAACTGAGAAAATCATCAAACTTGTACTTAATGGTTTAGATAACCAACCTTCAAAGTTCTCATATAATTTCCAAGATCACGCAAAAGACCATCCTTTTGATCTCTTCTAAAGTTCGGCTCAGAATGGATAGCACGATCATAGCTTAAAAGTCGTTCTTTCGTTATTCCATTTTCATTCAAAGTTTTCCAGTATACACTGATGTCTAAGTCACTTTTAATGTAATCCATTAATGCCTGCAGGAAAAAGTACTTATGAAGCTTTTAGATTGTGAAAATCATTTAATTTAAATTTCCAAATTTATAGTTTCAATACCTGGCAGATTATGACATCATCAGGACTTGTGTTATTATGCAGCTTCTGATGCCATTCCTCCATCATTCCACCTTTGCAATCATTGTTTCTCTAGAATCAATGAATACTCACTCATATTATTCAAATGTTAAAATTCCAACACAAAGGAAATCGTAACTGTGAGCACTAGGCGATAAAGACAAGCTTAATCATTGACCTGGATAACCAGGATTTCATCCCGAATACGCTGTCCCACATCACCTTCACCTCCTCTGCCAACAGTAGACAGAATCATCCGCAAAAGCTCCCGATACTGTGGCTGACTTGTGTAAATATTCTGGAGTAAATCTGTCAGCCTATCCTGTGCCTTACTGATCTCACTGCAACCAATGAAAGAAGAAACATATTTGCATGTGAAGAATTATCATGAGTAGTTATAATAATGAATAACTATAAAATCATAACTTTTTCAGTCCAAGAAAGCATCACAGAGAACCCACTATTGGACAGGTTGAATTACTTTACGGTCATGTTTTCCAAGAATTGGAAAAAGCAAGAAATTTCACATCTCAAATGTTTGAATGACCCATAATGATTTCAAGAAAATTAATATCCCAGTTTACCGTGGTTTGACATTGTAGTTTTTGTTCCAAATAAGTTGCCTTGTGGCCATAAACCTCATCCAAACTAAGATCCCTGCAAGACCCAATTCACCAGCATCCTTTGCTGTCTCCATCAAATCTGCTGCAATATTAAATCTGAAGAAAGAAGAATACCAATTACTTCTAGACCAATCATAAAATAAGATATTTTCCAAAATCCAGATGAGCCCTGACATCAAATCAATAAATTTATGCAGCATAAACTTTAATCGACCAGAGTAAAATTGTGACAACCATCATGATGAAAGAGTTAACAGAGAGGGAGAAAGAAGAACTTCACAGTTATTAAAATAATAAAGTTCACAAAAAGGTACCCAAAAGTCTCATGAAACTTCAAAAATTTTTTCTGAAACAGTTGGAAAATAAAAAAAAAAAGTTTGGGTCTACCTTTTTCTTATCAGCTTACAAATAGTAGTTGGGGAAAAATAAATAAAGTAAAAGAAGTATTAACTTCATCTTCATCATCGCCAACTTTTTGCACCTAGAATTAGACTGTTACCAATTCTACATTGAACGTATTTGTCAATGTGCACATAAATTTTTTATTAAACAATGTAAACCATTTTGCTATCACAGCAAGAGGGAAATTCAACCATCATAAATGAGCTAACTGATTAAGAACAAGCGTAATCCATCCTAGAGGGAAGGTTAAGGCGAGTGCATGCTGCGTCGTAGTTACTGATCTCTTGGATTAACTTGGGCGGACATATAAAGCCAAACGACATATGCCTACTTGTAGGAAAACAAGTTCAGAAGTAAAACAGAAGAGAATAATTATACGGTGATTATTTGTATAGAACTACTAGTTACTTTCAACATTTCAACAGGGTTAAGGACAGGAAAAACTTAAAGCAGATAGATTTTGATTTTCCTCACTTTCCCATGAATGTAAACGGTGCACTCATAGTATTGCTGGGAAGGGGAACAAAAACATAATAGAAGCATCTAAGACAGAGATCGCAAAGAGAGTTCAGAGCATAAAAGCTGTACAGTTTCAAACTTGAGTCCGTTATCACACAAAATGCACCATGTGGCACAATTGGAATACTCTTCATGCCATTGCAAGCTTTACTTCCTTTTTTTGCTTCCATTTGGCAAGAATCTAAGCCACAGTTCTGGGAATTGCTAACTGCCATATGATCCTAAATAACAATAAAACTAGAGACTATGAGTCCCTAGCTACTGAACGCAACGTAAATGATCCTCTGGATCACTTCCACAATCACACGCACATATAGTATTAACACCATACACAAGTACGTGACACATGAATGCAATACAGAATGAACATTTGGGATGAAGCCAAATTCTGTGCAAAAACTGTTACATATTCATATTATGGAAACTTCCAAAAAATATCATGAGAAATGAGAGGTCCTGTCAAGTCAGTAACGCTTGGTAACACAGAGAATTATGGACAGATTACTGACCGGTGCATGAAGGACTTCTGTGCCTCACTCTCCATCTCTGCAATTTTATCCAACAGCACTTTGGCTGTACCTTTTCCATCAGCAGCATCCTTTTCATTGAGAATAGTTCAGTTAATTAATGCAGAAAGGCGATGAAAGAAAAAGTAGAAAACAGTAAATTCTTGCTGAATACCAAACTGATAGGAACCTTTTGGACTGGCTTAGATCCACCGCGGAATTCAATATAAAAGTCTGAGTTTCTATTCTTTATCCAATTTCCATTAGACAAAAGCACGAAAGGCATCCCTACAAATATATCTTCTTCGATCTCCATTTCAATGGATTGGAGCTGAAAATTAAATTGAGAAAATTCTAGTGACATGATAAATTGAGAGGGTGGGTTCTGGAGCCCCATAGAACATGCAATGACATTGAATTGAATTTACATACCTGGTGAGGAAGTTCAGCGGAAGAAATATTTGCAAGTTGGGTTTCAGCAGCGTCATCTAGAGCAACTGAACCAAGAGGCAACACACTTGACGGTGGTGCCTGCAAATATACATACATTTGCAAGACAATTAATAAAAATGCTGCCAGTAACTTAATAATGGAGGAAAATGATGCTTCTAATTCAAAAGACCAAACCATCTTGAAATTAACAGTTCCATAGAAACTTACCAACCACTCTCCACTCTTTCTAGATAAAGCCCAGTGAAGAGTGACTGGATCTTTGAAATCAGTGGCAACATAAACCTTTGTCTTACCAGCAGGCTTGGTCACAAGTACCTAACAAATGTGAAAGAAGCATTAAAGTTAGAATAACTCGTGCAGGAAAAAAAACCTTGTAGTTCTTAGGAAGCAAGATGTTCATCAATAATAAATCTTTATCCGATTCTCACCAAAAGTTCTGCATCACCAAGCTTGAAGATCTTCTTGTTCAGAACAGCACCACCATCAAGTACTTCCTTTGCCTTTGCAAAAAGCTCAATTGCCGTCAAGGCCTTTGGTTCCACTGAAACTTCTTCCACTGCAGATGTAGTAGCATATTTGGTGATAACCTGTGCTAAGTCCCTCTGTTTACGCTGAATCCTTTCAGTGCTAAAATATCCTTTTTGCAGCGGCTGCTTTGAAACCTTGGTCTGGACTTCTCCTTTTGTAATCTTCTTCCTTATGTCATCAAGAGAGACACCTCTTTCCAGTTCTTTTTGCAATTCTTGTCTTGCTTCCTCAAACTCCCTCTATAAAAGCAAAAATCCATTAATGAATGTTAATGTATGAGCAATATCTCAAGCAAAATTGTGCCAATGAATATCAAAGTAATTGCATTTTCTAACAATCTCAATACTCATGCAAAACTACAAGTGGGCAACTAATAATGTTCACTCCCTCCAGCATCAGTAATTAACAAGAAACATCAGAGAATCTAACAGGCAAAGTAGAAAGTAAATTTACCTGTTGCTGCTCTGGAGAATAATTGGGTTTCCCAGCTTTTTCCCATCTAATATAAGATTGAATCTGTACTAGATCATCAGGTATCTTACTTTTTGTTAATGGTTCCTTAATTTCATTTCTATCATTTTTGTTGGTCAGCCTTGCTCGAAGGTCCTCAACAGAAATGCCCCTTGCTACTTCCTCCAATAGCTCAACACGTGCAGCTTCATATTCTTGCTATGATAAGAAAAAATTATTTGTCACAGGTAGACAATAGCATAAATTCCAAAAGATAGAACTGCAATTTACAAGCATAATAAAAGAAACGAAACTGCAATTAGTGTTTCTATCCATCCACAAATGAAAACCACGTTTTCTCCTACTATTGTCCTATTAAGACTGATGTTTAGAAAGAGGAACAAATATATAACGTTTAGCATCACAATCTCGCTATTTACCTTCTCTTGTTCAGGGGTATACATTTGTTTACCCTTTCTTTCCCACCTCAGATATGCTTGAACTTGTACAAGGTCTTCTGGAACCGAGATGTTTGGAATCATTACATTCTCTCTTGTAGGTAACTTAATATGAAAGTTCTTGCCATTATTCTTAAACCTGTAAGGAGAAACATTTGGGGGGAGGATAGATATAGCACATCAGTTCTGAGCTGTATAAGATGTATAGCCCTAGAAAAAAAGTTAGTAACAGAAGCTCACCATTTATTCCGGGCTTCATCAAATATGAGAAATTCTAAGCCTTGTATTTCAGGATCTTCAATATCTATTTTGAGGTGAGAATTGGGACCCGACTACAGAAAAACAATGCATAAAATGACAACCAGTTAATTATTCATTTATATATGTCAAACCTTTTGTTTTATTATTTGTTTGAATGAAGGACAATTAACGAAACAGCATGTTCCACTCTTTGGCACCCACCTTGACAAAAGGACTCCTAAGTGCTCTGTTCTTGTAATTTTTGGTTCCATCTGGGCGACAAGAGGGAAGTACCCAGTTTCTGAAAATATGAAAAGCAGCATAAGCAAGAAAGACAGATGCCCCAAGTAGCATCAATCAAAAAATAGAATAAATCATAATATAGATATGTGGCACTTGCTACCAAAGTCGGACTTACTCCTTCCTGTCATGTTTACCACCCCAGTGTAGGAGTAAAGAGTCACTACTATAGTTTATCTGAATATTTACTTGTGTGGGAGAACCAACAGTAGGATGGTTAACAGAAACCTGCTCAGTTAGAAAGAAGAAACTCATGTAAGTACAGCTTCTGCCTATAGCAGATTTACAATAAGCTAAAATACCAACAGTTGGAATAAATCATTGAAGCATCATTCATTTGTCAAGGGTAAACGATATTATACCTGCAATTCAACATTTCCATCAAGGTTGAATTTTCCTACAAGCTGCAGCAAGGAAAGTATTTTATTAGAACCACGTAGTGTGCAGAACAAGTAGTATGCATATGAATCATCCTCTCCCTCACTAGATTATTACATTCTTAGGCACAGAAATGTAAGTCCAAGAGGCAATATTACTCCAATGCTTTCCGAGAAAACTTAAGGTAAACAAAGCCACAAAATGACATTCATGATCAAGATAGTGCAAAGGAACAAAACAAGAAGATACCAATAGATAATGCAAAATATTTCGCACATATTTGGTTTATATTGAAAATGGAATGGAAATGGAAATGGATGTCTAAGTCCAAAAAATCTTGTTCCAGAGTTTAAATAAACTCTGTAAATTTAATGGTTGTATTAAGAATTATATTTTAAAAAATAAAATAAAAATTTCCAGATAAAATTCAAACTATTCAAATATAAAAATACAATACAAAATTTGTATTCTTTATAAATCAAAACAGAAAATTAAATCTTATTCCAAGAATTGCATTCCGTTCCCCATTCTAAGCAAATAAATCATGGCCCAGTTCATTCAATAAGATAACATCTGTGATCTGTCTGACTCTGATGAAAAAAATCTTTCTAAATGTCTACGGTCATCATTTTATTTTAAGCAGATAACGTTTAACACTTAATATTTGATGTTTCTCATCTATATTCCTAACTTTCAAAATATCCTAATTCATCAATTTTCTGCTCTTCTCGGGGTTGTTTAGCAATGAAATTGAAATTGCAGCTCACAAAAGTTATATAAAAATCCATTTCATATAAGGTAAAACACAATTAAATTCTGAAAATACTAGCACTCTTATCGTCTCTCTCACGCACAATCATTAAAATTCCAAATTAAAAACTATCAATAATAAGCATTTTTAAAAAATTACCTCGGCTGCAGGATCCATAGCTAACACAGCACGTGGAGTGACCGTAGCAGGACGAGTCGCAACGGCTAATTTTGATTTCCGCACTTTTAAACTCTTTCCATAAAAGCTCGATGAAATCGGCGACCTCCGTATTTGCGGTGGCGCCACTCCTTGAGCAGATTGGAATAAATAGTTAGCAGGAATGCCAGAAGAATTAAGCTTGCTTCGATGTTCTAGAACCGGAGGACGAACCAAACTCTGTTGCAACAATTTGTGGCCTATAGTGTTATTCATGTTCCTTGATTCACTACTTCACCTTGAAGAAATTCCAATATTAAACAATAAGAAAAACCAAAGAATAATTAAGACAACTAAACAACAACTAGAAATTCTAACAAGATTCATGAATACCAAATTCAAATACTCTGTCAACAGAAGTTACAGTGTATGTAAGTCAATCAAAACTTATAACATTCTAATTGATTTGTTCTTCCTTTCTTCCAAAACATTTTATTTTCCCGGCAAACCAAACAAAAAATAAGAATTAATCGATCAATCAATTTACCTAGATTCAGACTCCGGTGAAAGGAATATACAATCTAATTCTTAACAAGAAACTTCTGTAACTAAACTAAAGAAGTTCTGAAACTCAGGAATGGCCGCTTAATACTGTATGGTTTTTGCTGATTCAGTGAATGACTATTGAAATTAAGAGCGAAAATAAACCGAAAGATTGGCGCTTTATCGTGATTATTCGCCTCGTCTCAGCTAATTATACGGCCACGTAAGGAAAAGTAAAAAGCTCCGGGGCGATATAAATGGACAGCTAGTCACGTGCCAGAGATAGCGCGACTAAAGCATGGGATTCACCAGTTGAATAGCATGAATCTTGATATTTAATAAAGAAGTGTGGTATTAATCAATTGCCCTTCCTTTCCATTAGATTTTCAAAATTGACTGTTTCGCTTCTAGTATTTTCATAATTTTTTTTCTAATATTTTTGTTTTCGAAAAGTTCTTTATTTTAAAATTTTTGTAATTCTTAATGTTAGATATATTTTACTGTTCATGTACCTAATTTATAATTAACTTTTACTTTTAAAGATTATTACTATATATTATTATTTTATTTATCATTTATTGGTGAAAAGTATTCATACTTTTATTTACAATAATATAATTATTACATTTAGTGATAGAGAGATCATTGTTCGAAGTCCACTACCGCTATCAATCCGATTTCTCGCTAAATAGGTCTATAAAAGTAGGTAAAACGTTCCCTCTCGAATGTTTAAAGGGCTTCATATTTAGGATTTAAAGTCGAGATCTCTGATTAAAAAAAAAAAATCTCTATCATCTCATCTCACACTGAAGAGCAACATTTAACATTTAATGGAAGAGATCGTATAACACCGAATATTGTCAGCATGGCATGAGATATGATCTTGATGTCAAAATCAAGTTGGCGTTTGAATTTTGTTGCCAAATCTATTAGTAGTAGTACTTGTATATTTAGTGGCATTTAAGTAAATTCCTCGATGGAAATTTGTAGATGCACTCGATTTGTACTCATTGATAGATCCAATAAACACTAGATTCATACATTATGTTGTGACATAAAATAATAATATCTTACTGGTTTTGGAGGCAAGTAGTAGTACATTATAACACGACTTATCTTCTTAAAAAAAGGTAGTATTATTATATGATCTAACGTCCACAAAATAATGTTGAAAGGAAAACTCAGTCTTAAATATCTTTGCCTTAATTTATTATCTTCACAACTTTTATTCACAATTAATAAATTAATTCTATAAAATTAATAAAAATGAACGTGTGAGGGAAAAAAGAATACCATCAAGCAATATTTATTATTAAAGAATAATCCGCACGTGCAATAACACATGTTTTTCGTGGAATTGCCAAACTTTTCAAACAAAAAGCCGTATTTGTTTACTATATATTTTAGTTTTTCTCGATAAGTTTGAGTGCTTTTAACTCTTGTTTTCTTGAAAACTAATATTCTATAATACTATTTTTAATCAAATCTTTTATCAATATATTGAAAGTCCAACGTTGCCCACTTGAGATCCCTTGTTATGATATTATTGTATGGTGGGATAAAATTTTAATGTAGTTTTTTTTTAAGATAAATTATAAATATATATATTATTAGAAATATTATGAAGAAAATTAATTTATATGCACAGTTTAATATTAAAAGTATAGTTTTTATGTGCATATTTTTAGTATTACTTCTATTATGTAGTTTATATTAATTTCTAAAAAATTAGACATCACAATCATCTCTAAATTTATGCATTCCATGATCAAATATTTATATTATATATAAAAATAGAAATGAGATTGAGGAGCAATAATGGGATTGTCGATATTATTCCTGTGAAATTTCAGATATCTTAAAATAATTTTAATTGTAATCAATTAAATAATTTTAATCTGAAAATATATATAATATTTTTATAATTTGATTGGATTTATTTTTACTTTTTAATAGATAAATATATATAGGTAATTAAGCATTTTAAAATTTTAAATTTTTACTATTGGTATCTTATTATATCTAATTATATTATGTTATACTATTACGTAAATTATTAATAATAATTTAATAATTTGCAATAATTTATCATTATTATAATTTATAATTTAGCTTTAACGTTATTATTTTAAATATTATATGTAAATATGAGGTGTTTGAAATTTTTTATATTTTTTTGAATTTATTTTAAATGAATATATTTAGATGATTCAAATTTGGATTTACAAAGGATATGATTAAATTTCTTTAATTACAAATTACACTCTAATTTGGTTGGCCAAAAATTAAGATAAAAAAATTATTATTTTTAAATATTTTGAATTTTATTAATTATATTGATATCGTATATAATTCAAATCTTATATAATTCAAATCCTATTTTTATTAAAGAATATAATTTTATAAATAATTTTTTAAATGCTTTCATGATTTTAATTGGCTAAAAAAATAAAAGTAAAAATGAAAATTTATTATTATTTATAAATATTTAATTTGATTTATTAGATTGGTTTTTTATTTTATTGTCAAAATATATTTATTTACTAAAAGAGATTATAGTGAAAATTTTTAACAAAACATGTAAATTAATTATAAAATTTATAATAGAAGCTATGCGATGATTTTTATAAATCAATTTGATTTTTCTTTAAAAAACAGAAAATGAAAGCAATTAATGTACAATAAAAAATATATGAACCGGTACGTTGACATAAGAAAAAAATAAATATTTACTGTATCTATAAAGTGTAATGTATTTTAAAGACTCCGTCTAAATAAGAATTTATATTTTAATATTATATAAATAAAATGTATTTTAAAGACTCCGTCTAAATAAGAATTTATATTTTAATATTATATAAATAAAAAATTAAATGAATATAAAAAATGAGCATATAACGAGCATAACCAACGTAAAATGCACGTCATAAAAAAAATAATTTATAAAAAAAGCAAAAGGTATACCCTTAATGTCATTCAATAAGTTATAATGTAATGTAAATAAATATAGTTTTAATCACCGTTTGATAAGCAGTAATGGAATAATAATTAAATACATTTTTAATTTTTATGACTGTAAATGGGCCTAGAGTCCAACATAGACACTTGCCCAACCGGGCAAGCAATTCTTGATTCCCCTCTTTGGACTTTCTGCCTAGAACTAGAACCTTATGGCATGCAATATGCATGCTGTCTTGTATGTACACTAGCACGTGGGCCCCAAACCTTCTGGACTTTTTTACTTTCTGAATGATTGAACATTTGGAGCAATTGGATCTAAGCATGAGAGACAAAAATCACCAATTTAAAAGCTAAATAAAGGAGTTAATAACCAAAAAGATAATAAAACTAAAGTATTGCTTTGTAAAAGTGATTTTATTCTTTAATTTGATCAGGTGTTATGACAACAAGTTCAACTAATATGCAATACTGCATAATTTACAGTTGTGGTTAAATGTTAAATTCACCCTCAAAACTAATACGTTAAATTTTGTAACACTCTTAAATTTAAGAAAGATTTATCATATTTCTGAAGTTGGATTTTTCAATATCAATCATACACTTCGTCACGTTGATTATTATTCTTTTATAAATGATATGCTCTCTTATACATTTTGATTTATAATTAACTCATTTTTATTATAATAATATTATATTATCACTCATAATAGCTTGTTTGGCTGTGCAGAAAAATATAAATATATAAACTACTGTTAATTTTTTTTATGAATGTTATGAAGATTGAATTTCTTACTTACCAGGTGAATATTCTATCAGTAAATTATTGGGAGTTTGTTTGATATTAATAATTAAATTACCTTTTTGAAAATTATTATTTTAAAATTTATTAAGAAAAATAATTTTAAGACTTTTATAGTTAAATTACCATATAAAATAAATTTTAATAATTTCTAACATATATTTTTAATAAGAATATTTTTCTTTCAAAAAATTATCTTTTATTTTTAAAAAACTTTATATTTAAATATAAATTGAGTAATTGTTTGATGTTTTAAAGTCAAATACTTTATTTCTTATGCTATATCATCAACAATCAATAATTATTGAAGGGATTAGATAGAGCTTAGTCATTTCTCTAAGGTTATTTATGAGAAAAGATAATTATCAATCTCAAAACCGATTAGTTTGGTATTTGAGTCAATGGTATAATAATTTCACCATTATATTTGGCTTGAATTAATGATATCACATTGAATATAAGCAAATTAAGAATATTTTTTTGGCACACTAAGATATAGTCTAATGGTAAGTGCATATACGACATGACAATAGATTTAAGTTCGAATCCCCTCACAATACTTAAAAAAAAAAAAATTATTTTTTCTGGATGGGTGGGATATTTGTCTTTTTCTCATTTATTTTTTCTTTTTTGAATTTTTTTACTCACAGACTTAAATAGGGGTCATCTTCAACTTCAAGCATGCATGTACACATGGTTCACATTATATATTTGCTACAATGCTTTTAATTTGCTTATATTATTTTGAAAAGAAGTCTTAACAATCACATACATGCTTAATTACTGCTCACGAGAGGTGGTTTGATAAGGTGACATGAATACTTTATCTTTTAATTATAAATATTGAGTTAAAGAGCGTGTTACCTTTTATAGGTCTGCTAATGTAAATCCGAATTACACAGATTAATGGACTTTGGATTATTAAAAAAAAAGCTCAATTGTTGATTCAAAATATTTAATAAATGGTTAATTGGAATAATATTTGAAATTTTTGTGATAAACATTATAAAATTAAGACTAAATGCTAATATTTGAATTAATTTTATCCACCACCCTCTATTAATTGATAGGTGACCACAACAATTAAACCGAAAAAATATGAAGCAAGTTCCAATTGAGAAAATGTAAAAATAACAAAATATATATTTTTAGGAAATAATATTTATTGGTAAAATTAGTTTAAAATGTTACATGAACACACCATGAATAATAATAATCCATTCTCAAATAAAAAGAAATAAGAAGAAAACTTTTTTTTTGGAAAGGAAGAATAAGAATATTAATTAATAATTACATAATGAAAAATAAATCAACAATTCTAATTAATTAACACAAGGCAGCAAATAAATAAGTTAATTAACCTCCAAAATAAAAAATTAAGTAATCAATTTATTAATTAGTGGTGCAATAAAGTGACTAGGGCCAAGCAATTAGAAACCATATGTTCTAGTATGACATTAACCTTAGTAAGTGATGTCTGTTCATCCATTTCTGCATACGCATCATCGCAGGTTGTATAGTAACTAATGGCAGCAGATAAATTTGTATTAAGAGTTCCCTCATCATTATCTTCCAGGCTTTGAATGGATTCTTCAAGATCTGAAATGGCATCATCGTACGATTCTTTACAGATATCGTTAGTATCGCTCTGTTCGAGCAATCTCGCCATCAACAATGCGTGTTTTGTTTTTAATACTACAAGTTCTATTGCTTTCTTTATTGCTTTAGCTGGGTCAGTAATTCCCTTCACCGTTGCCCTGCAAAGGGGCTTATAATCTGTTGCTTCACATAAGTCGCCGGTGGCAGTGGCGGTGGCCGGAAGGAGGAGGAAAATGACGGTGGTTGTTGCAAGAAAGACCAGTGGGAAGGAGCTACGGGGATTTATATACATAATCATTGTCAAAAGTTAGTGTGAATTTTTTCCCACCTGGAGTCTCTCTGCATTCAGGGGCTCAATTTTATTTTCTTTCTTTTTTCTTTTTTTCCCTTTTGTTTTTTGTAAATTTTTTTTTTTTTGAAGAATTGAATTTGTAATATATAAAAGAAATTTGTGTGGGATTGCCATTTTTGTAGAATTTGATTAGTTTGGACTTTGTGGATAATTAAGTTTGTGTTCTGAATTTCACAGGAATACCATTAATTACTTTTTTATTTACTAATTAATTGGTTTAGGTAATTTCTTTTTTCTTTTAATTTTTGTTAAAAAAAAATTGTTTTGTGAGGTTTTCCTTGATCATAGGTAGCATTTTTCAATTCAGAAATTTTACAACTGAAAATGGAAGAGTATAATAGGATTTAGACTTTGAATATAAGAGGTAAAAATAAAATCATAAATAAGCAAATAATTAGTAATAAAAATTAAAGTGATGTTCGGTTCGGTTTTTTTTTTTTTTTTTTTTTTGTTCGGTTCGGTTTTTGTTTTTTTTTTTTTGTAGAAAAATACAGTTTATTGTTTTGCTCAATGACGGCATGCAGTTGGTCCAAAATTAACTTGACCCAATATACGAGGTTCCCAAAAGGGGGGGGGATAAAAAACCGGGGGGGGGGCCCCCATTTGAATTTTAATGCACATATTAGGCCAGGAAAAAAAGCCCTGTTAAGTAACCCTTAGGACAATATTTTGTATATCTTCAAAAAAAAAAAAAAAAAAAGAAGAGCCCCATTATAAAAAAAAAAAAAAAAAAAAGAAGAGCCCCATTTTATTAAATTGGTTTTTATTTTTCTCATTAATTAAGTGTATTTTTTTGCGAATATTAGAAAATGAAAGATTTGAATCTTGACCTATTCTCGCATGCCATACGTATTTACCATTAGCCTTAATGGTGTGAGTAGCTAAAAAGCAACTGATAGCCCAAAGAGGCCCTAATTTCTAATTTTGTACATGTAAATATAGTAACACAACTCATTTCTCGTTGAAAACTTGTAATCCACGTGGAATCATATGGTATTAGAAATGCGACTTTAAAAGATCCAAAAGATGATAATTATCACCACTTGACATAATTATTATTTAAACGATGTTGAATATTCCAAACCTTTTAAAATTAACAAAATGAATCCATTAAGAATCTCATTGAATATTCCAGGCCATATTATTTTCAAACATTAAATAGTTTTTCAACGGTTTTTTTTTTTTAAGCTAGAGATCAATTGTCTACTTACCTTGCCGATGTAGCCTGTTATTTTTATACCTTCTCATAAATCGGTTTTATATATGTATTTAAATTTATTCCTTGCAAGTAATGTGAAAAAGGAATATACAAATACAAGACAACAACATGTGACTGGATCAACCATAATGAATTGTAACCTGTCATAGATAAACAAAATGAAAAGCAATCAAAAGCAATGGCAAGTTGGCAACCACATGTTAGTCTTCGTACTGAAGTGTCTATTACCGAGTCAACAATGAATACTTTATTGCCTTTCGATCCAAAGTCAATGCTCAGTGCAGTTCGGTTCATGAACGTCCCTTTCCAATTACAGATTGATTGTTTGAAACTTGACACAAAACAGGCAAATAAAAAGCAACCTTTGAAGCTCATTGTTACACCCTTTTCAGAACTTTGAATTCCACGCACATTGTCACCTTCCCTCAAGTCTCCGACAAATGGGAATCGGCGCAACTGAAAGCTCTAACCTTTGTTCCCAAACGTCGCCTTTCTAACCTCCAAAGAGTTCCACGATCCACCAAGTCACAAATATGGAAGAATATTTAAACGTCGTTGAAATTTAGAACTCACCCAATTCTTCAACTGCAAAATCAGACTCTTTTTATAATTTGTTTATGAAAAACTAATCAAAGCTACAATCTTTATTAAAATTCCTTCAAAGGGTAGGGAAATGGAAGTGGAAAGTGCAAGAAAATTTGCTCTTCCTGTAGATTCAGAGCATAAAGCAACTGAATTCAGATTATTTTCTATAGCAGAACCACATATGCGAGCATTTCATCTTTCTTGGATCTCTTTCTTTGCTTGTTTTGTTTCTACTTTTGCTGCTCCACCTCTGCTTCCTATAATTCGCGATAACCTCAACCTCACAGCCACAGACATTGGCAATGCAGGTATTGCATCCGTTTCTGGTGCAGTTTTTGCTAGGATTGCTATGGGAACAGCCTGTGACCTTTTTGGTCCACGGCTTGCCTCTGCTTCACTTATTCTTCTAACAGCACCAGCTGTTTACTTCACTTCCATAGTTTCATCTCCTGTTTCTTTTCTTCTAGTACGTTTTTTCACTGGGTTCTCTTTAGCTACTTTTGTGTCTACCCAATTTTGGATGAGCTCCATGTTTTCAGCCCCTGTTGTCGGCACAGCCAATGGTGTTGCCGGTGGGTGGGGCAATCTCGGCGGTGGAGCAACACAGTTGATTATGCCTCTCGTGTTTGGGCTGATTAGAGACATTGGAGCAGTGAAATTCACAGCTTGGAGGATTTCATTTTTCGTTCCGGCATTTTTTCAAATGCTTTCAGCTTTTGCAGTATTGATCTTTGGTAAGGATTTGCCGGATGGGAACTTTAGAAAACTACAAAAATCAGGAGATAAACACAAAGATAAATTCTCCAATGTCTTTTATCATGGAGTTACAAATTACAGAGGATGGCTTTTAGCATTGACCTATGGGTATTGTTTTGGGGTGGAGCTAACAATTGATAATATAATAGCAGAGTATTTTTATGACAGATTTAATTTGGAACTTCACACAGCAGGAATTATTGCAGCAAGTTTTGGGTTAGCAAATATTATTTCTCGACCATCTGGAGGATTGATATCCGATATAGTGGCCAAGAGGTTTGGTATGAGAGGTAGATTATGGGCTTTGTGGATTGTGCAGACATTAGGAGGTGTCTTTTGTATCATTCTTGGAAGAGTGGGATCCTTGAGTGCTTCCATTGCTGTCATGATCGCTTTCTCTTTCTTTTGCCAAGCAGCTTGTGGGCTTACATTTGGGGTTGTTCCTTTTGTTTCAAGAAGGTAATTTTTACACATTCAAGTAACATGGAAACTCATTTTCTAGAAGTATTTTCTTCAATTCCATTAACATGTCTCATTTTTCAGGTCACTAGGAGTGATATCAGGAATGACAGGAGGTGGTGGAAATGTAGGTGCTGTTCTAACTCAATTAATTTTCTTCAAAGGATCAAAATACTCAAAAGAAACAGGGATTACACTTATGGGTATAATGATAATATTTTGCACTCTCCCAATATTTTTGATATACTTCCCACAATGGGGTGGAATGTTTTGTGGTCCATCATCTAAAAAGGTTGCTACAGAAGAAGATTATTACATGTCTGAATGGAATTCAGCGGAAAAGGAGCAAGGATTACATCAGGCAAGCTTAAAATTTGCTGATAATAGCAGAAGTGAAAGAGGCCAAAGAGCAGACTCACAGACCATCTCTCCTAATCTCAGTACCCCATCTACTAATGTCTAATATAGTCTATTACTAAGTTTTCCAACAATGTATGTTCAGTAATTTCAACCTCAAATGCTAAATCTACTCAAAGCTTTCATTTCTTTTTAATAAGAGGGTGAATACTTTACCTAATTTAATATCCAATGTATCAAAAATTTACATTTAAATATAAAAGCAATTATCAATGTGAACGGAAATGTTTTCCTGTTAGGCAGAAAAATTTCCCTAATGAGCGAAAATTTTCCTGCCAGTGCCAGATGAATTCTAAGTTCAGCAGAATGGGCTGGTACCCATTATTCCTCCAATGGCCTGCGAAATTTGAAATGGGCCTTTCTTTCACTTGGGCTCGGCCTGATGAGTTAATGCTTTATTGGTATTAGGCCATCTTGTGGGCTTTTTCACTCCACCGTTCGAGCGACACGAATGTGTAACGATCGCTTCTTTATTCCGGCTATAATTTAGCAACTGCTTATAACGAACGTCGTTTAATTAAGAACAAACAAACAAATTTATGACAGACTCCTTCATGCTTCAGAAGAATCAATTTCAAAATCTCTGTCGTTTTAAAATATTAAAAACAGACGACTTTATAATATTCATTTCAAACATTGAGATTTGTGAAGTACTGAGAAAGGGGGTTGTTACTAATTATACTAATGAGATCTGTATATCACTTTTTAAGTTTTACCAAATATGGACTTTTGAAATATGCTTGATCTTGTAATTCTCTTCACCCAATAATCGCCTTCCAAGGTCTTCACCCAATAATCGCCTTCCAAGGTCTCTATGTGCACGGAGTCTTCACCCAATAATCGCCTTCCAAGGTCTCTATGTGCACGGAGCAAAACCAATTCTTCAAGAGTAAAAATATTCTGTAAGCCTTCAGGAAGAAACCTCAAGTTCCAACAGTAGGTGAATGCAAGACGTCTTAGACTTGGAAAAGCTCCATTGACTATATCTGTCCACTCCACTAGCAAATCCTCTGATATCTCAAGAGATTCAAGCTTTGGAAACCCACTTGCCTCACAGAACTCTTTGCCAATGCACCTTACTTTATAAGCATTCCGCATAAAAAGAAGCTTTAACTTGGGAAGAAATTGAAGAGTACGGGCTTGGTTCTCTAAGAGGTCGGAATAACCTAAATATAACATAGTGAGGTTTTCCATGGAGGTAAGCCAAACAGGCATTTCAAAAAGGCGACCATATAATCTGAGATCTTGAATAGAAGGTGGAGGGGAAAATGATCCCAAATCTGGCAGAAATGAATCGGGAAAGTATTCCTCTGCTTGTAGCGACAAGGAGATAAGATTTTCCATCTTCGTAATGGCTGGAAATAGCTCAGTGCTATGATCCTCAGACACTCCTAAAATCAAGTTGTTGCAATTGGGTTAAGGAGCTAAGTTCACCAAGAATGCCTCCTCCTGCATATACACCATCTAACGTACGAAGATATTTGAAAGTTCCAATCCCGCTTGGAACTCTAACTCCGATATTGTCCCTGGTCTTGGATATCATGAGGTGTCTCAACTGTTGATAATTCAAGACTTGTAATGGCAATTCTTTCAGCTGTCTACTTAATATTATATCCAAAGTTTGTAGGTTTTGAAGATTTCCTAATGTCTGTGGAAGTTCATCCAGATATGACCAATCGCAGCACAGATATCTCAGGTGAACCAAATCACCCACTTCTTCAGATAATCTCTTTATGTTGCCGCGAAAATGTAACACCAATAAATATTGCAGCTTGCAAATAGTTGCCATATAGGCCCGAGAAAGGCCTTGAGAATCAGAGCCATTGTTTGTAATCAAAAATAGAGACCGAATTTGGAGGGTTCCAAAGTCAGGAGGAAGTGGAATGTGCTTCCGATCATGTTCTATTATAGCCCGAACAGGTAAATTCGCAGCTTTAGCAAAAAATTCCACTTCATCCACCTCAACAAGACATAATATTCTAAATGGATATTCTAAATGGTTCAGGAAACTTATAATTTTATTCCAAATCTTTAAATTCTTTGCCCATCCATAGTCCATTTTTGTTAAGCACTAGTAAAACCTAGATCAATTCAACTCCTCAATAATGTTATTTGCTATGTTATCTATGATTTCTCCTCCTTTTCTTGGTTATTTAGAGATTCAGCCAATAAAAGCCTGAACCATTTTACCCTTCCCTAATAAGAAAGCGTCTCCAAGTTTAGTAACGATAGCACAATTAGTCTTAAACCAGGACACCGAGATAAATCAGGAAGACTTTGATATATTTAACGATAGCACAATAGTCTAAACAGGACACGAGATAATCAGGAAGACTTTGATATATTGAAATGCAATCAGTTGAAGAAGAACCACTCTTACCTAATCTGTTTAGTGCTGTAGGAGACAAGTTGTTCTCTCTTCTTGGCATCTCCGCGAAATACGTTTCAGTTCGATTCTGCGATTTACGAGTGAAGTAAATTTGAGGCATAGTTATGGACAGCTAGCAACTGTAGTGTTTGCAGAAACTGAAATTTGAAAACCTAGAAACTAGGATAAGAGTGGGTTTCTCTAATTCAAAAGCAGTAGATGAAGATGCGAATGCCCAAGTCAACCGTCAACCCACCAAGTTCCTTTGCAACCGGGTCAGAACGTTAGGTGGGCAATTAGCCAATCACAGTCACAGCACGGAGCTGGACAAAATAACAATAATAAATAAAAGAACTACGCAAATTTGAATTGACCGAAAGGATTTTAGGCCCTTATATTGTCCAAGTCCAAGTACCATAACATATGGGCTTGTTATTTTAAAGTGCTGGGCTCTTCGATTGGGTTAATTTCTATTTGCAGGCTTTCATGATTCATGAATAACAACATTGTCTATTTCCACATACCAACATTTTATTTCTTCTAAATTTTACTCCTTCTAAACAAAAAAAGAAAATAAATTTTATTTTCTTTCCTTCTTTACATCCAAACACAAGGGTAGAAAATAACTATAGAAAGAAAATTAACCATTCCTCATTATTTTTCTTTCCTTATTATTTTCCCTCCTCCCCTTTCCAAACAAATTGTAAAAAAAAATTTTTTTTTTTAAAAAATTTTATCCTAAGCATTTAGTACTTAGGTGGGATACTGTCCTCTAATGGTCCACCTAATTTGACTGCTCTGCTCTTTTAGAGAGACAAATAAAGAGCTGGCTTGTGGAAATTTTGCACCGAGCAAGCCTCAAACAAATCTATGACATTCTTGATCCCTCAATTCCTTCGGGAGTACTTAGCCACTTGGTTGTCCGTTAGCTTTTCAATTTTTCATTATCACATAGATTGAATTCTCTAATTGAATAATTATTTGCTAAAGGTATCTTCGTGTAAGCTTATATAATCCTTTCTAGCACAATTATAATTATACAATTCCCAATATCCATGCACGGCTTTAATATAAAGAGATTAAAAAAATTGCAGGTGTATATATATATTAGCTTTTTTATATGTTGCCTTTTTATTTGAAATACAAAGAAAGATGTTGATGGGCATGCGCAAAAGGGTCTGGTGGGCGGTGCACGCACTGTTCTTCAACAACCACGACCACAACCACCACCACCGCCATAAACTTCATCAACTAACTCCTCAAAAAAGGTACATATATGGGGGCCATATAAAAGGAGTCGGAGAGCAGTTGCAACCAAGTCCAGTCGTTTTTAAACCAAAAAGTAAAGGAAAGTGGGACAAAAGGTTTATATGATTAAATATGCTTACAGCAGCTCCTTTATTCTTTCGCTAAAAAGCAATCTAGTTCTGCAGTTTGCTTAATATATTTAGTTCTTTTTGTTCCCTTTTATGTATTCTGTCTGCATAGTTTGACCATACAACATTGAAATAAGTTAAACATTGAGAACTTTTTTTTTTTTTTTCCCTTTTCTTTTTCTGTCAGCTGGGGATGAAGGTTTGTGCCTCCCTTTTTTTTTTTCCCTTTTCTTTTTCTGTCAGCTGGGGATGAAGGTTTGTGCCTCCCACAACCCTACTTATGGCTTGCCACTCTCCTAGTTTGAGCTTTCTCTTTTCCTCTTCTTCTCCTCTCCCTCTCTCTCTCTCTCTCTCACGCACACACACGTACAAGATATTCTAGAGTCAGTCATGATGCAATGTAAATATAATAATTAGTAGAATGACTAGGGAGAGGGATCTTTTGCTGATTAATCATAAAATAACAGAACTTTTTGTGCAAATTGCCTAGGAGTTAGTATAACTTTAGTTTGTTTCCTAAAGAATATGGAATCTACATTTACAAAAAACATCTACTATTCTTTGGATTTTGCTGTTATCTTTCATTATTTTACCATAACTTAATTACATTAATGGCTAAAGAATATGGAATCTAGCTAGTATGTGCAAGAAAATATAAAAATATTCATATACTTCTACTTTCAGTCAAAAGAATTTCCAAATCAGCTTACGCATACTGAAATTAAACCGAAAATGTTCTTTAGAAAAAGCAGCTAATTAATCATATTTATTAAAATAACTATTACAAATCATCACCTTCCCACATTAAAAAGATTGCAGAAGGGAAGCATCTAACAGAAAACATTCGAGCTGGAAAAAGAGAAATAAAAAAAGAAAAAGAAGAAAGAAAGAAAGAAAAAGTATATTAAATTCCTCCCTGAAACATGCAGAAATATTTCTTTTAATAATTTATAATATAACAAAAAATTGCGTATAATTAATTTTTCTTCAGTATTAAATAATGTATTTAAATTAAATTTTAGGTACCTGCCATGTTTTTATTCTAGCTCCGGCTAGGGTATTGTGCAGTTATAATTAATTTTTCTTCAGTATTAAATAATGTATTTAAATTAAATTTTAGGTACCTGCCATGTTTTTATTCTAGCTCCGGCTAGGGTATTGTGCAGTGTGATCTTTTCCACAACAATGTTAGAGACACATGCAACACTTTTATCCTTTCCAAGTCCTCCTACACTGTGATTGTAAGAGAAGCAAAATAATATAGTGTTATTATTATAATCAGTTAATTTGTATATATATATTTATATAATTTGGATAATTTTTTCTTTAAAAAAAATAGAAAAAAGAAAATTACCTGATGCCATGTCCTGGACCGCAGTTAATATGATGGACATGGATATTGAAGCAACCAGTTTGTATGGAAATACAGTCATCTCCTGTCAAAAGTGAGAATCCCATTAATATATATTAGCATATGAATTAAACGCAGTAATATATTTCATTAATAAAATTCTGCTGCTAGGCTGGTCTACTTGTTAATAATTAAAAAAACTGAAAAAGTTGGCTGGTTTTGGTATCCTTTTTGTTCATGCTTGTCTCAAAAGTTAGTTTAGATACAGTTATACCGTTTAACATATATTTCTTCACAAATGGATAACCTTTTCCTGTATGTGGGCAGAACTGGATTACTTTTTCTATGCAATTCTAACGTGCCATGCACCATCCACTAACCCAACCTAAATTATGCATTATCACTCTATTAATCAGGGCATGACCTAAAAGTGATTTAGGTTTCTCTCTAGCATATATATATCTTTGAACCATAGCCTTCAAATTTTATAAATAGAACCAAAATTTTTACAATTTGATTTAATTAATAGAGTTTTTTTTTTGACATTTATTTTCAGAGTTTTATTCCTCCAATGGCCTGCGAAATTTGAAATGGGCCTTTCTTTCACTTGGGCTTAGCTTGATGAGTTAATGCTTTATTGGTATTAGGCCATCTTGTGGGCTTTTTCACTCCACCGTTCGAGCAACACGAATGTGTAACGACCGTTTCTTTATTCCGGCTATAATTTAGCGACTGCTTATAACGAACGTCGTTTAATTAAGAACAAACAAACAAATTTATGACAGACTCCTTCATGCTTCAGAAGAATCAATTTCAAAATCTCTGTCGTTTTATAATATTACAAACAGACGACTTTATAATATTCATTTCAAACAGTGAAATTTGTAAAGTATTGAGAAAGGGGGTTGTTACTAATTATACTAACGAGATCTGTATATCACTTTTAAGTTTTACGGAATATGGACTTTTGAAATATGCTTGATCTTGTAATTCTCTTCACCCAATAATCGCCTTCCAAGGTCTTCATGCACGCCGAACAAACCCAATTCTTCAAGAGTAAAAATATTCTGTAAGCCTTCAGGAAGAAACCTCAAGTTCCAACAGTTGCTGAATACAAGTCGTCTTAGACTTGGAAAAGCTCCATTGACTATATCTGTCCACTCCACTAGTAAATCCTCTGATATCTCAAGAAATTCAAGCTTTGGAAACCCACTTGCCTCACAGAACTCTTTGCCAATGCACCTTACTTTATAAGCATTACATATATAAAGAAGCTTTAACTTGGGAAGAAATTGAAGAGTACGGGCTTGGTTCTCTAAGAGGTCGGAATAACCTAAAAATAACATAGTGAGATTTTCCATGGAGGTAAGCCAAACAGGCATTTCAAAAAGGCGACCATATAATCTGAGATCTTGAATAGAAGGTGGAGGGGAAAATGATTCCAAATCTGGCAGAAATGAATCGCGTAAGTATTTCTCTGCTTCTAGCGACAAGGAGATAAGATTTTCCATCTTCGTAATGGCTGGAAATAGCTCAGTGCTATGATCCTCAGACACACTCGTAATACCGAGTTGTTGCAATTGGGTTAAGGAGCTAAGTTCACTAAGAATGCCTCCTCCTGCATATACACCATCTAACGTACGAAGATATTTGAAAGTTCCAATCCCACTTGGAACTCTAACTCCGTTCCTGTAGGTGGTCTTGGATATCATGAGGTGTCTCAACTGTTGATAATTCAAGACTTGTAATGGCAATTCTTTCAGCTGTCTACTTAATATTATATCCAAAGTTTGTAGGTTTTGAAGATTTCCTAATGTCTGTGGAAGTTCATCCAGATATGACCAATCGCAGCACAGATATCTCAGGTGAACCAAATCACCCACTTCTTCAGATAATCTCTTTATGATGCCGCGAAAATGTAACACCAATAAATATTGCAGCTTGCAAATAGTTGCCATATAGGCCCGAGAAAGGCCTTGAGAATCAGAGCCATTGTTTGTAATCAAAAATAGAGACCGAATTTGGAGGGTTCCAAAGTCAGGAGGAAGTGGAATGTGCTTCCGATCATGTTCTATTATAGCCCGAACAGGTAAATTCGCAGCTTTAGCAAAAAATTCCACTTCATCCACCTCAACAAGACATAATATTCTAAATGGCTCAGGAACTATAATTTTATTCCAATCTTTAAATTCTGCCCATCCATAGTCCAATTTTGTTAGCACTAGTAAACCTAGATCAATCAACTCCTCAATAATGTTATTTGCTATGTTATCTATGATTTCTCCTCCTTTTTCTGGTATTAGAGATTCAGCCAATAAAAGCTGAACCATTTTACCCTTCCCTATAAGAAAGCGTCTCCAAGTAGTAACGATAGCACAATAGTCTAAACAGGACACGAGATAATCAGGAAGACTTTGATATATTGAAATGCAATCAGTTGAAGAAGAACCACTCTTACCTAATCTGTTTAGTGCTGTAGGAGACAAGTTGTTCTCTCTTCTTGGCATCTCCGCGAAATACGTTTCAGTTCGATTCTGCGATTTACGAGTGAAGTAAATTTGAGGCATAGTTATGGACAGCTAATCAGGAAGACTTTGATATATTGAAATGCAATCAGTTGAAGAAGAACAACTCTTACCTAATCTGTTTAGTGCTGTAGGAGACAAGTTGTTTTCTCTTCTTGGCATCTCCGCGAAATACGTTTCAGTTCGATTCTGCGATTTACGAGTGAAGTAAATTTGAGGCATAGTTATGGACAGCTAGCAACTGTAGTGTTTGCAGAAACTGAAATTTGAAAACCTAGAAACTAGGATAAGAGTGGGTTTCTCTAATTCAAAAGCAGGAGATGAAGATGCGAATTCCTAAGTCAACCGTCAACCCACCAAGTTCCTGTGCAACCGGGTCAGAACGTTAGGTGGGCAATCAGCCAATCACAGTCACAGCACGGAGCTGGACAAAATAACAATAATAAATAAAAGAACTACACATATTTGAATTGACCGAAAGGATTTTGGGCCCTTATATTGTCCAAGTCCAAGTACCAAAACATATGGGCTTGTTATTTTATTTTCTTTCGTTCTATACATCCAAACACAAGCGTAGAAAATAACTATAGAAAGAAAATTAACTATTCCTTATTATTTTTCTTTCCATATTATTTTCCCTCCTCCCCTTTCCAAACAAAATGAAAAAGAATTGATGCACTTTTTTTTAAAAAAAAATTTTATCTTAAGCATTAAATACTTAGGTGGGATAATGTGCTCTAATGGTCCACCTAATTTGACTGCTCTGCTCTTTTAGAGAGACAAATAAAAAGCTGGTTTGTGAAAATTTTGCACCGAGCAAGTCTCAAACAAACCATGACATCGTTGATCCCTCAATTTCCTGGAGAATACTTAGCCAGCAGGTTACCCATTAGATTTTCAATTTTTCGTTATCACATAGATTGAATTCTCTAATTGAATAATTATTTGCTAAAGGTGTTTTCGTGTAAGCTTATATAATCCTTTCTAGCACAGTTATAATTATATAATTCCCAATATCCATGCTCGGCTTTAATATAAAGAGATTAAAAAAAATTGCAGGTGTATATATATATTAGCTTTTTTATTTGAAATACAAAGAAAAAGGTTGATGGGCATGCGCAAAAGGGTCTGGTGGGCGGTGCACGCACTGTTCTTCAACAACCACGACCACAACCACCACCACCGCCATAAACTTCATCTACTAACTCCTCTAAAAAGGTACATATATGGGGGCCATATAAAAGGAGTTGGAGAGCAGTTGCAACCAAGTCCAGTCGTTTTTAAACCAAAAAGTAAAGGAAAGTGGGACAAAAGGTTTATATGATTAAATATTCTTACAGCAGCTCCTTTATTCTTTTGCTAAAAGCAATCTAGTTCTGCAGTTTGCTTAATATATTTAGTTCTTTTTGTTCCCTTTTCTGTATTATGTCTGCATAGTTTGACCATACAACATTGAAATAAGTTAAACTTTGAGAACTTTTTTTTTTTTCCCTTTTCTTTTTCTGTCAGCTGGGGATGAAGGTTTGTGCCTCCCACAACCCTACTTATGGCTTGCCACTCTCCTAGTTTGAGCTTTCTCTTTTTCTCTTCTTCTCCCTCTCCCTGTCTCTCTCTCACGCACACACACGTACAAGATATTCTAGAGTCAGTCATGATGCAATGTAAATATAATAATTAGTAGAATGAATAGGGAGAGGGATCTTTTGCTGATTAATCATAAAATAACAGAACTTTTTGTGCAAATTGCTTAAGAGTTAATACAAGTTTAGTTTGTTTCCTAAAGAATATGGAATCTACATTTACAAAAAAACATCTACTATTCTTTGGTTTTTGCTGTTATCTTTCATTATTTTACCATAACTTAATTACATAAATGGCTAAAGAATATGGAATCTAGCTAGTATATGCAAGAAAATGTAAAAATATTCATATGCTTCTACTTTCAGTCAAAAGAATTTCCAAATCAGCTTATGCATACTGAAATTAAACCACATATGTTCTTTAGAAAAAGCAGCTAATCATATTTATTAAAATAACTATTACAAATCATCACCTTCCCACATTAAAAAAAATTGCAGAAGGGAAGCATCTAACAGAAAACATTTAAGCTGGAAAAAGAGAAATAAAAAAAGAAAAAGAAGAAAGAAAGAAAGAAAAGTATATTAAATTACTAATATCTGTGAGTCATATATGACTGGCTAGCATACATGCTCATGTGACCTTGCTGTTCTTTTAACAGAGCCACCGATATCTCTTCTTAAGCAATAATCTATACTTGAAGGAACAAGTGGTGCTTGTGATTTCCCATAAGAATTCCAGCACAGTGCCTGTTGTGAACTTCTTTGTCCTAAAGAAGGTTTCAACTGAATATCAATAAGGTCAACATCCAAACACGGTACTTTGTCACTGCAAGCTAAATGAATAGGTTGAACTGTGTAGCTCCCAATTATTTGATCGTACTTAACACCTGAAATTTCCACAGCTTCTGTTTGGTTCTTACAGAAATGTTTGTCACAATAGAATTGATCAATTATTATCGGGTACTTCACATCTATTACTTGGATGTTCGTAAATGATATATTTTTAACAATTCCAATTCCTCCCTGAAACATGCAGAAATATTTCTTTTAATAATTTATAATATAACAAAAATTGCTTATAATTAATTTTTCTTCAGTATTAAATAATGTATTTAAATTAAATTTTAGGTACCTGCCATGTTTTTATTCTAGCTCCGGCTAGAGTATTGTGCAGTGTGATCTTTTCCACAACAATGTTAGAGACACATGCAACACTTTTATCCTTTCCAAGTCCTCCTACACTGTAATTGTAAGAGAAGCAAAATAATATAGTGTTATTATTATAATCAGTTAATTTGTATATATATATATTTATATAAATTGGATAATTTTTTCTTTAAAAAAAAAAAAAAGAAAAAAAGAAAATTACCTGATGCCATGTCCTGGACCGCAGTTAATATGATGGACATGGATATTGGAGCAACCAGTTTGTATGGAAATACAGTCATCTCCTGTCAAAAGTGAGAATCCCATTAATATATATTAGCATATGAATTAAACGCAATAATATATTTCATTAATAAAATTCTGCAGCTAGGCTGGTCTACTTGTTAATAATTAATGAATTAAACGCAATAATATATTTCCATTTATAAAATGTAGCAACCAGTTTGTATGGAAATACAGTCATCTCCTGTCAAAAGTGAGAATCCCATTAATATATATTAGCATATGAATTAAACGCAATAATATATTTCATTAATAAAATTCTGCAGCTAGGCTGGTCTACTTGTTAATAATTAAAAAAAACTGAAAAAGTTGGCTGGTTTTGGTATCCTTTTTGTTCATGCCTGTTTCAAAAGTTAGTTTAGATACAGTTATATCGTTTAACATATATTTCTTCACAAATGGATAACCTTTTCTTGTATGTGGGCAGAACTGGATTACTTTTTCTATGCAATTCTAACGTGCAATGCACCATCCACTAACCAAACATAAATTATGCATTATCACTCTATTAATTAGGGCATGACCTAAAAGTAATTCAGGTTTCTCTCTAGCATACATATTTCTTTGAACCATAGCCTTCAAATTTTATAAATAGAACCAAAATTTTTACAATTTGATTTAATTAATAGAGTTTTTCTTTTTTTTTGACATTTATTATGAGAGTTTTATTCTCCAGCTAATTTTTAATTATGATAAAATGAACTCGTGATATAAAAATATCGTTAAATGTAAAGAGGAATCTATATATCTACCAATAAAATAAGGAATGTGTACACATTTACGTGTATGTAAAAATTATTACTTAGTTCTTACCAGTGGCAATATTAGAATGCTGAATTTCTACGTCTTGTGTGTTCTGCAAGTGAATTCCATCAGTATTTGGGCTATTCTCTGGTGAAGAAATTGTAATATTATTAACTTTGATTCCCTTAGAATTATCAAATTTGAGATGGCATTGCGGACTATTTATGATTTCAATGTCACGAACTGTTACATTATAACTAGCATAGAATCTCAGAGCCTGTAATTAAAGAGAGAAAGCAATTAATCTATTAATACTTAACATTTAATCCAATCATATGATAAAAATAACAAAACAAAGGAAGAAATTAATATCTTACTGTTGGTTTCATATAAGGGACGTGTTTGGATTTCTTCTGCAGAAAATATATATCACAAAACGGCTTAAAATATCTTCTTTTTTTTTTTCCAAATTAATTTAAATAAAATTTAATTAATTTTCAAACCTGAATAAAATAGATATTAGAAGGAGTCCACCAATCAGATCCTTGACCATTGACAGTGCCAGGGCCTTGAATTGTGAAGTCATGTACCCATTTGAAATTGAACCATTGAAAAAGGTTCGATTTAGGCCATGAACTTACTTCAGGTGGAGCCAACACAGTTCCATCTATCTGTTAATTGGCATGGAATTCCACTTAGATTGCATCAGCTTGGTGTGTAAAGCATTTCATTTTTTTTTAATAATTAATTAACATTAAAATAATGCATAAAGAATATACCCTCTTTATTAGTTAATTTGCTTCTTTCATGCATATCTTTATTCAAATTAATTAATTAAAGAAGACAGATTATGCATACCTGAAGAACAAGATGAGGCATACATGGACCCTGAAGAGTTATGGGCTTGATCAGAAACTTAATTTCTGCTGGAATTTTAATGGTAGCCCTAGGCACCTTGCAGGCTGCTTTCCATGCATCTACAAGTGCCTATGGTAATTTTCAGGGAAAATTAAGCGTTGTAAACTTTAATTTATGAAGAAAATTATAGTTGACAGGCCAGCTTCTTGAAAAGCCGGTGAGAAAAGCACATAGGGTAGGATAAGAAGAAGAAGAAGAAAAAGAAATTCTTTGTATATGTTATATGTTTTATACCTGAGAATCATCAGAAACTCCATCACCCTTGGCTCCAAATGACAAAATATCGAAAATCGTGGATTGTGTGGGGTAAGAACCATAATGAGGAAGAGAGCCTGGTGCTGGTGCTGGTGCTGGTGCTGGTGTTGGAGCATTGTGATTGCCATTACCATGACTCTTGTCCTTTTGGTGCTTATTATAATTATGTTTATTTTTCTTGTAATTGTGATGCTTTCTTGCTTCTACTGAAATTATAGCAAACATAGTGAAGGCAGCTACTATAACAAATATGAAAAATACAAGAGATGATGTATTCTTGTTTCTCTTCATCGTAGATCGATCTTCGCAACTTTTTCTTTTGTTTTCCTGGAAAATGCTGTTCCTGGAGTTGTTTGGATGTTGCTGTGTGCTTGAGATAGTGGAGTAAGGTCGTTAAAAGGCAGTTTATATAATAGCATGTTTACCAAAATAGCCTCCTTTTTGCATATAATTTTCGTGGGCAGTTAATATTAAATCATAAAAAAAATTGTATATGTTTTTGTTTTGGTACTTAGATTATGTATGCCATATTAAATTCATTGTTACTTATGGTTAATCCAAGAAATGACATTTTTTTTTATTTAACCGGGTGCAACATTATACGAATCTTATTACATCCGACCTGATTTGACAAATCAACATGCATGGAAACGTCAGTACATTAATTTCAGAATCAGGCCAATTTTATTTTTAAACCATTTAAGAAAAATAAACTAAATTAAACCGATTAACTCATGATTAAACTAATCGATTGGTACAAACCTGATTAAACCATTATCCATTGATTAAATCAGTAATTCATCCATCTGGTTTTTTAGCCGGGTCAATGTATTTTGAGCTGGCTTCAATAACACTGACACAAATGTATGTATTAAATATCTCCCTTTAACAAAATTTACTAATAAAAATTAAAAAGAGATATTATGAATTATCTACTTCTAAATTTTATTACAATTTCATAATAACAATAATATTCTCGTGATGGTAAATTATAATCAAAAGGTCAAAAAGTTAAAATCTCATAATATATATGCTGCGTCCACTTTTGGATAATTTCCTTAATGATTAGACAATTGGCATCAGTTATTAATTTATTATACGTATATATATTTGGAAATTTTCCTTAATGATTAGACAATGCATCAGTTTATTAAATTTATTATACGTATATATATATATATATATATATATTATATAATATATATATATATATAATATATATATATATATATATATTATATATATTATATATATGATATATATGTGATGCATTTCCTTAATTCAATTGAGGGGAAGCCATTATTGAGTTTTAGTGGAAGGCGGATTTAAATATTAAATATTATAACAATAATATTATGGTTTGGATAATCTTTCTTAATATAATTTCATATTCTAATTAATGGTAAAGGATAGCTTTGATGCTCTTTGGTTCGAAAGACAGTGTTACTCTTATCAAAGCTATTTCATCTCCATCATTCTCAAAAAAAAAAAGAAGAAGAAAAAGACACGTAATCTAAGGCAGAAACGGATAATTTACAAGAAAAATACTTTTTTTTTTTTTTTCGTATTCTGGGGTGTTACTTAAATTAAAATTGATTAGTAAAAGGTGGTGCAACCCATGTGTATATATATATATATATATATATATATATATATATTAACTTATTTGTTATCAAAAGAGAAGCCAAAATGAAGAATAAATTAGGAAGGTGTCCAACTCTATATATATTAACTTATTTGTTATCAAGAGAAGCCAAAATGAAGAATAAATTAGGAAGTGTCCAACTCACAAAATTCTTCTAGTACTAGGGCACTTGGATGCATAGTCCAAAAATACACCCCCCAAATTAGGGGCAGGTGGTCCTAACTCCGACTTATCTATATATTAATTAATTTGCTTAGCTAAAAGCGAACTTATCTATTATTAGGGCTTTGATACCTTGGAAAATCCTTAAAATACACACATTTTAAGTGGTATGAGGCACAAGGCTGGAAAATCCAAACCATCACATCCTCCAAGGCACCAAAAATAAAATTCCTGTTGTTTATTCATTTTGAGACAAAAAGAATAAGTACCAAAGAGACCCATTTGGTGGTCATAGTCTCATAGAAGTATGGGAGCCGCTTCTGCAGTTAAGAAGGACCTCCCATTTTCATAGCCCTTGAAACCCTCCCATGGCGGAATTTGGTTTAGTCTATCCGAAATAAAATGACAGGAAAAGTTCCCATACCAATTCCATTTTATTTTACGTGCAAAACAAGCATGCAATCGAGTCTTATCTATTTACAATGAGCCGATATGACATTATGAATTAAATTACAACACTTGTAATAGTTAAAAAATACGATAAATGAGTCAAATTCAATATTATAGATTATAACACTCATCAAATTAATGAAAATTTTTATGATAGAAAAATATTTGCACTCAAAACTTATATATTATTCATATACTTAAAAAGAAAATAAGAAGATAAACTAAATTACATCCATTTGGCTGCATGGATGATTTTTTTTTTTTTTCATACGTGCATGGACTCAAAGTACTAGTCATTTTCAATGAATAGTCAACACATTAGATCAATAGTTAATGATCCATTGCAATATTAGCTGCATGATTATCGGGCTAATAGATTTTAATAGCTACAGCAGTAGTATTCAGGTTAAGGTATTTTAAAACTAAATGATTTCCTAGTCAAACGGCTAGAAATGAAATGACACCGTAAGATAAGGAGAAATCAGGTTCGACGCATTGTCTTAATATCTTTAATAAAATATTAGTCTATTAGTCATAGGTAGCTCTAAATGAGATTTGCAGTTTCTAATTAGTGAGTCATATCGACAAGTATACTTAAATTGCAACGTTGTAAGATTATATCCTTGTACCATAGTACTCTGTTCACACACACACACACACACACACACACACACACACACACACCCACGAAAGCATTTCGTTTGGGCTAAAATTGTGGAATTTCGTAATGGGTTTCTATTGTTTTGGACCCAGCTCAATCTGAGCCCATTATAATCACGAAATTCGTAGCACTTGCTTGAAGCCCATTGCACTGCATTATCTGTTGAATACAAGAACTTAACAACCTTTTTAAATTGGCCCAACTAAGCTTAAGCTGGTCCAAATCAATGCACAACTGTACTGATATATTATTATATATTGGGTCCAGATGATCTCGGAGCTTTTGCAGAAGCAAACGGAAGAGCGAGTTTAGCTGAGCAAAATCAGGAAATTCAGATAGATGTTAGCAGAAATTGAAAGTTGAACGTTCAATTATTCAAAAGGTTAGCTACTGATTCCACCATTTCGGCTCCCACTTACAAGTTCCAGCCGTACAGATACCGTCAATGAGTTTCTAGTAAATGAGCATTAGCCCACTTTCCACTAAACGAGTCAAAAATAACGCGTAATTAAATAAATACAAATTTGAAAGAAATTATTGTTTTCTAGTGTTAAGGATTGTTCATAATAATGCAAATTATCAATTTTACTATTCATTTCTAAGTTAATGTACCCCGTAAAAATACGAGTCATAATATTAGTTTTGTTATATCGAAAGTTTAATGACTGAAATAATATTGTGGACTACACAGTAGGGATTAGTCCTCCTATTTGAATAATATTCATCAAATTAACGATAATTTTTATGTTGGAAATGACTCGAATTCGAGATTTCTTATTTTTTATATTTTTTATGAAAGGTAAGAAGACCAATCAAATCATACTGATTGACATTTTTATTTCAATATATTAATAATTATTTTTTAAACCACATTATATATACAAAATAAAAAATAATTTTCCTTTAATAAAATGATTAAATCTTAGCTTCATACATATTTTTGAAAATTTTAATTTAATTAATTTATAAGTCAAACCAACTAACTCAACCTATTCCGTCTCATTCTCACGAATGAAATGGTCAGCGACTCCGCGGCTTTGGTTTGGTGGTCAGCGCTCAAAGTCGTCATCATCTACGAAACCTTCTGGAACTCTCTGGGAAGTCCAAAACCTTCAACTTCAACAATAGATAGATCTAGACTATACAATTTCTGGGAAGTCCAAAACTTCAACTTCAACAATAGATAGATTCTAGACTATACAATATTATATATATATATATATATATATATATATATATATATATTTCTAAAACTTTTATTGTTAAGTACCTCAAACGCACCGCCTGCCAAACAAAGACATCTTCCTTACTCATATTTTCTAACTTTATTGTTAAGTACCTCAACGCACCGCCTGCCAAACAAAGACATCTTTCCTACTCTTTTCTTTTTTTAAAATATTAAATATCTATAAAATTATAATGGGAACATTATTTACATTAATCATATTTGATTTCACATTCTTGATTCGGATTTTTTCAAAAGTAAAAACTAACACTTATACAAGTAATTATTTTTCAATTTTATAATAAAGTTCAACTAAAAATAGTATATGCTTAATTCTCTTGCAAAGAGAATCTAACTTCATATATTCACAAAGTAATTATAGAATATTTTTGTTGATGTACAAAAGAATGGCTAATCAAATTAAATGAAGAGCATAAACTATAACTATTCGCTAGACGTCCCTAAAAGCTAGACACCATCCGGATATTAAAAAAAAAATTAGGTGGAAGAAAAATATTTTTTCTAATTTTTAAAAGTCAAAAAAACAATCAACAATTTTTAGAATTAAAATTTATTTCTATGAAAATTCAGATTTTTAACGGGTATTTTCATATTTTGAATAATCCAAACTTAGTCAGACATTATAATGATAATTTATACAGTAACAATTAAGAGTTTTTTTAGTTTAGCTATGTATGTTAACTAGTAGTTAATAACACCAATAAAGTGTTAGTTGAAGTAATAAATAATCTCAATAGCGCATTTTGCTGATATTCAAAATCTTAATTTTTAAAAAATAATTTTATCAATAATTATTTTTTAATTTCCATATAGTTTAAATATTGGGAAGAAATGCATGAATTAACTCAGCTAAATTTCCCTAATTATTTGAAATTTTTAAAAATAATTAAAAAATTGAACAAACTTTCAAATTTTATTCATTGCGCGTATTTTACATTGACCTGAAGTTCTGGTTTCCATTTATCGCCGCCATCCTGTTTATATACATATAATTATATATAACGTCGTCGTTGAGTAGTTGATAAGTTAGCGACCCAAATTGACTAATAATACCAAGGACAGAAAACCAGCATTCTGACAATAAGACAAAGTCCCTTTCACTTGATCCCGTGCATCAGCTTCATTCAATATCTATCCTGTTTATGTCTTCTTTTGACCTTAACGACAAGTCGACAATGGCGAAAGGAGTTCCACTGCTAACGCAACTAGCCATTCTCTTCAATAGAAGATAAAGCAGATCGCCAATCACCATTGATCCATCCGGTCCTACCCACAAATGGAAACAAAGACTTTAGCTTTACCATATTTTAATGGCTTCTTTCTTTTTCTTTCTTTCTTTTTGTTTTTTTTTCTGTTTCCTTCATAAAAGTATCAAAACCTTCCATTTTCCTTTACCTTCACTAAAATGTATTTGTTTCATACGCGTTAAAATTTAAAAGTCAATCCTTTGAATGAGACCATCTCAGCTGCAAAACCATCACCTTTTTTTTTTTTTTTTTTTTTTTTCTTTTTTTTTTTTTTTTTTTTGTTGTTTCTAGTTTTCTTTCCTCTTCCTGTTGTATCGGCTGCCAGAAAAATGAGAGAAAAAATTAACCTTTTTTTCCCGTATGGGTATTTTAATCTCTCTCCTTTCTTGGCTTATCTTTTCTTGGTAAAAATTTTCTTTTTTTTTTTTTTTTTTTTTTTTGTTGTTTCTAGTTTTCTTTCTCTTCCTGTTGTTCGGCTGCCAAGAAAATGGAGAGAAAAATTAACCCTTTTTTCCCGTATGGGTATTTTTTAATCTCTCTCCTTTCTTGCTTATCTTTCTTGGTAAAATTTTCTGTTTCTGAACCCAGAGCTACACAAGCAGCTATGATTTGCTCGAACAGAACAGCTGCAAATTCAGAGAGGCAAATTTTTGTAGTAAATTTCTTGGCTACGATGGATGTAGTGACTCCTTTGGTTGCCAGGCAACAATTTGGAGCTGTGATTAATGGATCAGGCAATACTACAGTTTATACTTTGGGTGAGTGCATGAAAGATCTTGATCCAACAGATTGCAATCTTTGTTTTGCCCAAAGTAAAACCCAGATTTTAAGGTGTCTTCCTTTCCAATTAGGCACTAGAGGAGGTAGGCTTTTCTATGATGGGTGTTATTTAAGGTATGATGACTATAATTTCTTTAATGAGACACTTAGTTCTCAAGATAGGACTGTTTGTGCAAATGGGACTTTTAATAATGGTAGCAAAACTGTTTTTAGTGCTAATGCTATGGAATTGGTGAGGAATTTGAGTGTTCAAGCCCCAAAAAGTGATGGGTTTTCTGTGGGATTTGTGAATAGAGGGAATGTTTCAGTTTATGGATTGGCTCAATGCTGGGAATTGCTAAATGCGAGTTCTTGTGAGACTTGTTTGGCAAATGCTGTTTCTAAGATTGCTAATTGTACTCCAAAGGAAGAAGGAAGGGTTTTGAATGCTGGTTGTTACCTGAGGTACTCTCCTCAAAAATTTTACAACAATTCAGGAACTGCAAATGTAGGAAATGGAGGTAAGTTGATGTTCTATTTCCTAATTGATTTTACCTTTCTTGGCATCTTTATTGTAAATCAAATTCAGTACTTAATTTGCAAGTTTGGTAATTCATCTTCAAGTCTGTAAATGGGATGGATTAGGTATATGTCAATTCAATTCAATATTATAGTGGTGCTCAGCTGGGGAAAATATGATGCACACATTTAAGCAACTTTCTTTCTACTGCCAGAACCTGAAAATCTTTTGCTTGATTATATACTAATTAGAACACTTTGACATGATATTACCTTAATGGTGGCTACTACCAGGAAGAAGCCACTTGGCGGTTATACTGGCTGTGATATCTTCTGCTGTAGCTGTAACATTGATTGTTTCCACCGCTGTATTCTTTGGGAAGAAGAGAATTGCAGAAAAGAGGAGACGTAAGTATGGTCAATTAACACTTTAAAGTTTTTTGTTTCGATGTCAGCTGTCAATATAAAGTCTAATATGCTACTTTGATGTGGATCTTGCCGCAGAAAGGAACGAACTTGGTGCTTTATTAACTACCCTGAACAATTCCAAGCTTAATTTCTCATATGAATCTCTTGAAAGAGCCACTAATTACTTTCACAGTTCCACTAAGCTGGGACAAGGAGGATCGGGTTCAGTTTACAAGGTTAATTAAGTTTTTAGCCTTTAATTGCTGTGAACCATATCCCTAATCTTGGAATTAATTCACATCTCTTTCTATTTTTTCCCAATTGGTTTATCAGGGAGTATTGCCTGATGGAACTGTTGTTGCTATAAAGAGGCTTTTGTTCAATACAAGGCAATGGGTAGATCATTTCTTTAATGAAGTCAATTTGATTAGTGATATCCAACACAAGAATCTTGTGAAATTGCTGGGATGTAGCATTACAGGACCAGAAAGCCTTCTTGTTTACGAATATGTACCGAATCGAAGCCTTCAGGATTATTTCTTTGGTAGTTGCTTTTTTTATCTCTGAACTCTTACATAAAGATTTCACTCTTATTCACAAGTGCATCTACTGATCAATCTTCATTAATTTCACTCAGACAAAAATAATGTTCGGCCTTTGACATGGGAGATGAGGTATAACATCATATTGGGCACAGCTGAGGGTTTGGCCTATCTTCATGAGGAAACTGAGTTGAGAATAATACATAGAGATATAAAATTAAGCAATATTCTGCTTGGTGAGGACTTTACACCAAAGATTGCTGATTTTGGACTTGCAAGATTATTTCCGCAAGATAAGACTCACATCACTACTGTAATTGCTGGTACATTGTAAGTTAAAAGGCCACTAATGCTTTTTTTTGTGATATTTTACATTTGAACATGCGCATTAAAGCAATTTGCTGAATTTGCTTCTGCAGAGGTTATATGGCTCCAGAATATGTCATTCGTGGCAAACTGACTGAGAAGGCTGATGTTTACAGTTTCGGAGTTCTTGTAATGGAAGTAGTTAGTGGAAGGAGGAACAATGCCTTTGTTCAAGATTCGGGTTCTATCCTGCAAATGGTAACCATTAACTGTATTTGACAGATAGCATTAAATTCTTAATTTATAAGATTACACTGTCTTTAAGGGTCTCTTTATGTTCATTTAAAAAGGTTTGGACACTGTATGGAACTGGAAGACTATGCGAAGCTGTTGATCCTAAGTTAGAAGGTGATTTTCAAGAGGAGGAAGCATCTCGGTTACTTCAAATAGGCCTACTTTGTGTACAAGCTTCTGCAGATTTGCGTCCAGCAATGTCAATTGTTGTTAAAATGCTTAATAATAGCCATGAAATTCCTCAGCCAACACAACCACCATTTCTCAATCCTGCAAGTAATAGTTCAGAAATCAGCACACTTATTAGACCTGCCACTTCTAGTTCTCAACCTGAGTCTTACACTCAGTCTTCAGGAAACAGCATGACACAAAGCTGGATTGAGCCCAGATGATCCTTCAACTTGCCAAAACTCCGTTTCACATTTGAGACCAGGCGGTTCAATTTTGATCAACTAAACCAGCTGAGCTGATTATATAATGATCCACTGCTAATATTGATTGTCGTTAAATATAAAGTATATATAGTGATGATTCTTTCTTGTAATGCTATAGAGCTAATAATGTATATAGCTTGAAATTTTCTGGATATTCTTTTTGGTGTAATTGTGATGCAAAAGTAATTTAACCATCATTATTTTATTTTTTTTCATTTCAATAAGTTGAATTTTGTGCATGTTCAAGTGGGAAAACAACTTGAAATTTGCGGTGGAACTATCTTATTAAAGTTTACTTAAATCATTTTTGTTTTAATCTACATAGTGGTGGTTTGGATTCATGGAATTTCACATTCCATTGTCCATCCATAGAATTTTGAATAAACAATAATGAAAATTGAGAAATTCCCATTTGTGATGTGGGATTTTCCAAAATGGTGAAATTAATAAATTTTAAAGATCTATTTTTTTATTTATTAAACCGAACAAAAATATCTAGCAAATATATAAAATACTTTTAAATTCCATTACTCAAATCCCACCAATCCTAACTTCCTCGTCCAAAATTCTATTCCTAATTCATTTGCGAGGTGCACCAAATATGCGCTGAATTTATCAACCTTTCTCTCTAAAAAAATTATTAGATTTCTGGTATTGATCTGTAGCTGTAGATTAGCAGATGCTTAGACTTTGAAACGCGTTTGTTAATTATCCATTCGACTACTTTATCAAGATTTGATAACCAGCTAACAGTGGTGAGCATTCCTTAATCACACCGAACTAGCTCGGTTTCAGTTTATCCGAATGTATTTTTCTAGTATTCAAATCCAAAACCAAGTGTATAATAATCGATTAAAATCAAATTAAATTAGTTTGGTTAAATTTAAATTCAGTTATTCCAAACTAAATAAGCTATTTACGGCTTTAAAAAATTTCGGTTAGTTATATATAATAATTGAACTAAAAACGATTTTATATACCTAAATTATAACCGAATTTGTAAAGTAACTATTCAAATCCAATTGAAATGAATCAGTTTAATTGAATTTTCGATTAGAAACTGATAATTGCTGACCCTGCCAGCTAACGACACACACTTGATTAAAAGAATATGGAAGACATAAGCTACAAAGTGCATAGACTCTAATCTTAACGGTGATATGGTGCGTGGTGCAAAATCAGAAATTTAGGCTTGTAAAATAAGGTCAGTTGTGGTAGGTCTTGACTTTTTTGTGCTTAATGGTCATATTTTATTCTAAAAACATTTGTTAATTTAATTGACATTAGCTAATAATAGTATAATATGGTAATTTAGCCCTTGAAATGAGATCAAGAGGCCAAATTAGTATGTGATCATGAGGATAATAATAATGCTAGTAGGTGAAAACTATGACTACAATCTACAAATAATCATATAATATTTTTAATAAATTAATTAATATATATATATATAATATGGTCCAAGTTAGCAACTTCACCCGGTTATTATGTATTGTTGTATTGAAAATAAAGAATACAAATAGCAAAATGCTATTTGTTGTAGGGATAGAAATGGTACTTCTCTTACCAACAACCTTTTGAGACTTTCCAACATCATATTCATAGTCATAAAATGAGGACTTTATCGTAAACTATTAAGGTGCTATTTTTTTGTTTTTATGATAAAATGAATAATCTAGTGAGAAATACTCTCATTTTAAATTTTTTTTTTTAAGAAAAAAGAGCTTTGAACCACTCATTCCAAATTAATCCATTGTATTTTATTTATCGTCTTTAAACCCTTCAATTTTAATTTTGATTAAAAATTTAACTTTTTTTAATCGAGAATTAAATCATACTAAGCTTAGAATGCATAATAAGCTTATAAATTTAGGGGTTCATTTATGCATTTTTCCTTTTTTTTTTCATTGATTAAATACAAAAACACATAATAGGGTAAAAATAAGATTTATTAGCTCATAAAATGATACTAATCTACATAAGATTTAAAGGATGAGTTCACTCTCGAATGACCAGAACTACAATATCTCCATATTGCTGATTTCTGAAAATTATTAATTAAAGTTAGTAAGTTTTCCTTTTTTTTTTTTTCTTTTTTGAAGTGCAAAATCTGCCCTCACTCCTAGAGCCGGGAACAAGGGGTGAAATGGTAAATCTACAATAAACGAACATGATAAGAAGAAAAACTTGCCCTCTGCCTCTAGTAAAAGTCTGAGTCTCTAACCGCGTTTTTTCACGTTTGGTTATTCAACGGCTTTGATTATTTGAAATCTCATACGTTTGAAACTGATTTTCTTCTGTCTCCCACAGTCTTTTCCTCTGCTTTTCAACTTTAATCAAGAAAACTCGAAGCTCCCATCTTCACCTTTGACTTCTGCAACAACAAAAATCTTCAAAATCTTTATCTCCCTTAAACCCTCTCTCTTCTTTTCCTTTTTAGTTTCAGTGTAGAACTCTTCTTCTCACAGACACCTCCAGAATTTTCATTTCAGCTTCAGCTTCAGCTTCCTCTAATGCACAAAAAGGTTCGTATTTTGAATTTCCGTTTCCGTTTCTAATTCTTTTTCAGATTCCAATCTTCATCTGATATAGTAATATCTCTGTTTCAACTTTGATCAAGAAGACGACATGGAAAACGTAATAATGATAGAAGTTTACGATGTTTACTTGATCCAGAAGGAACTAAAACCCAGAATAGCTTTTAAGATGATGAAAGAAACTAGCTTGTTTGTTATTATTTTTAAATTTATTGCCTTTCGTTACTCTGAAAACAAAGAAAATTCAATCTAGATGACAAAAACGGATACTGATATCCTGTCCATGTGATTCGAATTATATGCTTAGCTGTTTAGAAATCATTGGTCAGTATATGTCTGTTTCATCACTGCTCAGTAATAGTTCAAAGGATATGATTTTATTTAGTATATATAATTGTGAAGTTAGGAAGTAGAAAATTAACGCCGCTGTTATCTTGAATAATTCATTTATCTACTAACACTACAAATGGAAATTTAAATTGGCGGTGGCCGTTGGTGGTGGTGGCCACAGCCCCCACACCGTGGTCCATTTGAATTGGATAATTGAAGAGGTTGGTTGAGCAGACTTTCATAATTTCATACTTACCGACAACATTTTTGGAATTTCCTTATCGAAATGTCCCACATAGACGTGGCCTTCTTGTCCGGATGTTTTTTCAGTTCCGTTATTTTCAAATGTCAATTTTAGGGGCTGCAAAAAACTTTTTCACCATTTATTTTTCCCTTTTCAGTACTGTTAGGTGGCATAACGGCGTTGATTGAAAAACCCCATGCTCTTAATCTTTCGTTAAACTTTTTTCCTTTAACTTAAAGAATCTTAATTGCTAATTTTGGTGGCCTGCATACCGTGTGAGGTAATGTTTGTTTGAATTTGGATTTTGGACTAGAAGTGTGAAACCAAGAAACTCTTAAACTGGGTTGCTGCAAATTATAGCACTTTGTGCAATATCCAATCCAAGACTCGCCTTTTTTGACTTGAGAATCTGAAATATCAAAATAAGCAATCATCCTTCCAAGTTTCTACTGCCAACTCCGTACCCACTGTGTCGTATCTGTGTGAGTGTTATACTCTTCTTTTTGACTAGACGTTGGTCTCTCTCCTGAATTTTGTATATCCGATCTTCGGTTAGTTGATATGCCTAGAATAATTGCTCAGCTATAGAAAGAAATTTTTAATTCTTTGATGAAATTGAATCCTTCTTTCCATGAACATGGAAGAACTTTCTTCCAATTTGTTGCAGAATGTTCCAATTTTGTCAAATTAATTTCTGTTCTCTAATTCCTTGTTTCAACTTTATTATCTTTGAGTACTTTGATGGTTAACTAGGCTCCATCTTGAACAGGTAGCCTGGTAATTTCAACAGCAAAATGAGGAAAAAAATCCTTTTGGTCCATCATCAATGCATATTCTTCTGTTTAGTCGGTTTTTTATTAACATATGAGAAAGCGATGGGGGATCCTAGAGCCCAGCAAGTGAAAGTTACATGTGGACGCCAACTTGAGCACAATGCTTCTATCTTTGTACCCAATTTTGTTGCTACAATGGAGAATATCAGTGAGCAAATGCGCACTTCAGGGTTTGGAGTAGCAGTTACAGGTTCAGGACCTGATATTAACTATGGGCTTGCTCAATGTTATGGAGACCTTTCTTTACTTGATTGTGTATTATGCTATGCTGAGGCACGTACAGTTCTACCCCAATGCTATCCTCATAATGGAGGTCGGGTTTTTCTCGATGGCTGTTTTATGAGATCTGAAAACTATAGTTTCTTTGAGGAGTATAGAGGACCTTTAGATGAAGTTATCTGCGGAAATCAAACAAGGAAGAATTCTACATTTGAGGAATCAGCTAAAGTGGCTTTATCGACTGCAGTTTCAAGTGCAATGAATAGTCGAGGCTATGCAAGGGCTCAAGTAGCAGTGCAAGGGACAAATGAATCGGCTTATGTGTTAGCTGATTGCTGGAGGACATTGAATGCGAGCGCTTGCAGAGCGTGCTTGGAGAATGCTAGTGCATCCATATTGAAATGTTTGCCTGGGTCAGAAGGGAGGGCATTGTATACTGGATGTTTTATAAGGTACTCGGACAGAGACTTTCTCAACGAGCTAAGAAATGACAGTTCACGAGGTAAAGAAAATGTATTTTCTTGTGTTAATGTGGGAGATCAAGATTTTATTCTTTATTAATATGGCCTAATTTTGGAATTACTAATTGCAGGGAGCATTATTGTGATAGTCGTTTCAATTGTTAGTTCTTTGGTGGTTCTAGGAGTTGGGATAATTATAGGAGTTTATATTTGGAAGCATAGATATGTACAGATGAAGAGAAGAGGTAATTAAACTTTGTTTTATTTGCTTCTGCCAAGTGAAATCTCCAGCATAGCAGATAATTGTCAATTAATGGATGGTTGTCCAAGAAAATGGCTACTAATGCATGTAGGTATTATGTATTATCCTTTCGGTTTTGCTCATTTTCCGGAATGCTTTTATCTTGATTTTCCAGGTTCAAATGATGCACGAAAGTTGGTTAAAACCCTTAATGACAGTAGCCTGAACTTCAAGTACTCTACACTTGAGAAGGCTACAGGATCTTTTGACGATGCCAACAAACTTGGACAAGGAGGATTTGGATCAGTTTATAAGGTTTTCATTTTTTTTTTTTTCTGTTCACCTTTTCAAATTTAGTAATTATGCAAACAACTTTTGCCCTTTTTCTTTCAATCAGGGAGTGTTGCCAGATGGAAGAGAGATTGCTGTAAAGAGACTTTTCTTTAACAACAGACACAGAGCAGCAGATTTTTACAATGAGGTTAACATCATAAGTACTGTGGAGCACAAAAATCTGGTCAGGTTGTTGGGATGCAGTTGTTCTGGTCCTGAAAGCCTTCTTGTCTATGAATTCCTGCCAAACAAGAGTCTTGATCGTTTTATATTCGGCAAGTACCTGAATTTCACATATAAAGCTTATCTGAGATTGCAAAAATTCCTATATCACACAGCAAATAAAGCTACTCTCTGCATAGCCATTCTTAGTTGATATTTTATAATTCTAAGACCATAGACTACTAAGTTGAGCTTGAACTTAATGCTTATAATGCTTAATATCTAAATATGACAGATCAGAACAAAGGCAAAGTGCTAACTTGGGAAAAGAGATACGATATTATTATTGGAACAGCGGAAGGTTTAGTCTACCTTCACGAAAACTCGAAGATCAGGATCATTCACAGAGACATAAAGGCCAGCAACATATTATTGGATTCAAGATTCCGTGCTAAAATTGCAGATTTTGGCTTGGCCAGGTCTTTCCAAGAAGATAAGAGTCACATCAGCACAGCCATTGCAGGAACACTGTGAGTATATCTATTGTTTGTCAGTCAGTTGAACATGAATTCCAGTAACTTGCAATGTTTCATTTGAATATTTACATATGAACATAACATTATCTTATATATATACACATTCCATCAAGCGATAATTTCAATTATATATGTGCAGTGGATACATGGCCCCAGAATACTTGGCTCATGGCCAGTTAACAGAAAAGGCAGATGTCTACAGCTTCGGTGTGCTTTTGTTGGAGATCGTCACAGGAAGGCAGAACAACCGGAGCAAAACCTCAGAATATACTGATAGCCTAGTTACACTTGTAAGTTCCAAGAATCTCACTTTTTCTTGATTCTTTTTTTGGTTCCATTTAATCTTTACACAGCAATGAAGAAATTTATCTTTTTAATTTTTTGAAAAATAGACGTGGAAGAAATTTCAGACAGGGACTGTGGAGGAGTTTTATGACCCAAACCTAATGTTACATAACCACCATAACAGTAATATAAAGAATGATGTTTATAGAGTAGTGCAAATAGGACTACTCTGTACACAAGAGATGCCATCACTTCGACCAACAATGGCAAAGACGCTGCAGATGCTAACAACAGAGGATAATCTCCCAGCACCTTCTAATCCCCCTTTCATAGACGAGAGGACTATGGAACTGAACGACACATGTGAGGATCCATGGTACCCACTTAATTCTGGCCTTTCTGCATCAATTGCAACTGTCACCAATAGTTCCTTCTATCCAAGATGACCTAGAGGAGGGGTTTAACAGGGGATTATCAAATTTATAATTCTGAGACAAGTAAAAGAAGTTGAACATCTTCAGTGACTGTAACACCTCACTGAAGCACATGCCACAGGCATTTTCAAGAAGCTGTCAGGGCATTTAAGCAGTCAGCAATAAGATGCAGATTGGCAGGCATCGGATGACTTGTAGATATGAAATTGAGGATAGTAATGTCAATGTTTAAATGTTTTTTGTGAAATGAGAGAAACGTATATCATGCTGTAAATATGTATTTCTACTAACTTACAAATTTTGTTTTAAATGAATAAATCTCAGCTTGTCCAACATTGAACATAATTCTGCAATTTCAAAGTACCTAAATTTTTCTTGAAGATTTAAGAAAGAGAGTTCACTGCTCAGGAGAGAATGGATAAAGATAGAAAGAAACTATTCAAGGAAAACAGGACTCATTAAATTATTAGTCGCGTAGCTAAAAATTCTGCAACGTCAAAAAACATCGATCCCTAAGCTCACAGTCAACAGTATAGACCACAACTTTTTCCCCCTTTACAATATGCCCTTCATCACTCCAGCAAATAGCCACATGCCAAGCACCGACCTTGTCTACCGTGTGGCTACTAGGTTCCCCATTAGGCCTCCACTAATCTCATAATGTTTGGCAGTAGAAAACCCTGCTTCCAGAGCAAGTTCCTCCAATTCCTTGCCTGTGTCAAGAGTATGCACCATTACCACCCAGTAAACAAAAAGGAAGTCGCAAGGGTAGATGTGCTCTCAGGGAATGTAATGTTACTAGTTTTGCACACGTTCTAAGAAGTTTTAAACATAGCAGGTATGAAAGTCTGACACAGCAGACAAATAGAACTTTTATCATAGCTCTTGGCAACGGTAGCAAAACCAGTAAAAATGATCTTTGAATGGAAATATAATACATGGAGAAAAATAAAAGCAACATTGCATTTTAAATAGGAGTAAGGTTTGGTTGGCATTCAAGAATTATTGTTTACAATCATACACATCAATCCACTGGAAAAAAAAAAAAAAAAAGAAAAAAAAAACTGAACAAGAAGTTATAGCAGGAAACGTACCTGTTAAAAATTCTCTGATTGAATTCTTCAAGTATTCATACTCCTTTGCAAGGCCATAACGAGATGCCATAGGGACAACAACATTGTCGATCATGCAATTCTTATGCAAAGAACATGTAAAAGATTCGACTTGTCATATGTTCAAATGTATAGTAACAATTATCAAACTATAAGTCAGTTGACAACTTGACATGATAAAAAATAAGTTTCCTAAGAAATATCCATTTCCCACAACTACAAAGTCAAAAAATAAACAACATCAGGACATTTTCAAGAAAAAAATGCATTGATAACCACTGAATTTCATTTATTGACGTACAATTAGAAACATCATATTCCTAGAATTTTAATAGCAAAAAGGAAAAGCCTTTTATTTTGTAATTCTATACCTGAAAAGAAGAAATAAATGGTTGAGTACCCTTATTGAAGTCAAGAACAGATACTTTTGCACCTGTAAAAGCAAGAATGATAAGTTTAATCAACTTTCATTTTGTTGGATATATTTCAAGCTGTTGCAGAGAAAATAGGGCACCTGGTTTCAAAACTCGAAACATCTCCTGCATGGCCTTATGCTTATCAATCACATTTCGTAGTCCATAACCCATAGTAATAGCATCAAATTGACAATCAGAAAATGGCAAATTAGTTGCATCACCCTCAATCCACCTGTGATTATTACAAGAAACAACTCATTTTAGAGGTTACCATATCATTCAAATTACTGTAATCATAAAACTTGATGCTTCTAAATGAATCACAAAGAATTTAATAAAACATTATCCAATGAATTATTTTCCCAACCCTCTAAAGCGTCCTCCTAAATCACTAAACATTAAAAATTTTCCTTCACCTAAATGATATATACCAATGCTCACTCGATGTTCTTGTAGAAGTCCCTTGAAAGCAACTGTTGCCGAGATGAAGCAATCAATAATTGCTCCTTTGAGAAATCAACACCAGTCACCTACAGATTGTCACCCAAAAGAAATGGTAATGTAGATTGTAGAACATTGTTATGCTGCATAAATTTACAGACAATGGCACAATTCTAACGACAAAATAGACTCCTTTCTTCATTAGACCTATGCTACTCAACAAAGCAGCCTCTTTTCTCTATAATCATACTCCATCCAAATCACAATTAAAGGTTCATTATAGTACTTCACTAATATTATCATTTCCCAAGAAATAAAAATGAATATTGAACATAATCCATCTTAACAACTTGGCTCTACAAGCATCAAAATCTCCCTCTCAAAAGAAAAACTCATTAAATACACTTAATGATCAAGGAACATTATTAACAACATAGAAACGCTAAAATGAGAAAGAACAAACCTTGCCATAGGAGCCAACTTTCTCAGACAAAAGAAATGCCAAATCTCCACTTCCACAACACAAATCCAAGGCATTGTCTCCCATTTTTGCTCTAATATATTCAATGCATGATTTCTTTAAAATCCAAAAACATCATAACAAAAAATTTAAAAATAATGATAAAGAAGCATACCCAGTCCAGGATACAGCCATTCGTTTCCATATTCGATGTTGACCCAAACTCAGCAAATCATTCAACTGTTTGTTCCGAGTTCAGACCAAAAAACGAAAAATTAAAAGAATTACAAAAGAACATAAAATGGAAAGAAACAAAAGGTGAAAATTGCTTGCACATTATCATAAACAGGAGAAATGCGGCTAAAGAGCTCCCGGCGTTCGTTAGCGCATCGAACCAGCCGGTAATTGAACCGAGAAATGTGAGGTCGTGAATTGTATGTTGAAGGTAAACAGAGATGAAGACAAGCCATGTCACCTCTCTTTATCTTGAAAATCTTTCACCCCCGATTCTCATGAACGTTGTATATATCAGATCTAACTGACTCAGGGACATTCATATAGGCACGGCCCATATTAAGTCCATCAGATCCAATGGGCTTAAAAAGTAATGGCAGAAACCACATAAGCCCGAATGAAGCCACAGCAGTTTAACTGTGATAGAAATTCGTATAATGTGGGAGAATAGAATCATACTGAAATTGAACTTGTTTAGGAATTAAAATTCTAGTTATTTGGATGAGTTCAAACTTCAAATACTATGAGCATCTATAAATACCCAATACGCTAAACCATAAAAGTTCAAATTCTATATAAGAAAAAAAAAAATGGGAACTCAGAATTTCATGGTGGCGCTGCTTCTGTTGATTTGCTTGACAAGAAGCTTAGCAATTGCTGATTCTGAATCTGACTGCGATTGTGTTTGTTTTCCAGAGTGCAGAAAGTCTAAAGTATGGTTGCCATTAAACGTATTCCTAGGAAGAGGAGAACCGAGATATGATCCGCATGAGAAACGATGTTTATGTCGATGCATTTGTCCACCCTTTCTTCCACGTATCCACATCCACCAACCATTTTCCCTACGCCACCAACACCTCAATTACAATTTACAAGAAATACCTCGTTTTAGAGGTAACTCATGACCATGAGATTGGACTGATGATTGTTTTAGTGGAAGTCATTGATACCTCCTCTTGATCTTGTTCAATTTTGCTATACTCATTAGAATTTCTTATTGATTAGTATTTTAAAATTACTAGGATTTGTTTATATCAAAATTTTATTATTATTTTCAATTTTAGTATTATTATTGTTTTTATTATAGTGTTCCCACGAGAGAGCTCGTGGATACGAGGCAAGTAATGAAATTTCATGAAGTCTTTATTATAGTGTTCGATAATATATTTTAGATGTTAAAGATAGCATTTTACGTTTAACTTGTGATATAAACTTATCTAAATGATATCAAAATAACTAAAAGTTACTAGCAAATCTCAAGTGATAGAGTGGACGGCAAATAGAAAGGCCAACGAATCACCTTAGACAATAGAGTATTATCTTGTAATAATTAATTAAGTATATGATGGTTTAGGTCAAAAGATAATGGGAATGTTCCTCATCATGTAAGTAGATTAATAAATTAATTAGCAGACATGAAATTGTAGCAACACCTTCCAAGTTGATCCCACTTACAACTTTTGTCTCTAAGAACTAGGGTTGGAATTTACAAAAAGATGACTTTTTCTCCTCCTAAAATGGCTATTACAGAATCTTTACTTCCTTTTGACCAGAAATAGTGTTTTTCTGGTTTTTGTCTTGCATTATATTATACCATATTGTACAGTGTGCTGGAGTTTGCTCTATTTTTTTATTTTTCAACCACTCCGTTCCTCTTTTTCATTAACATTTTTCAAATAATACTCTGGATTTTAGAAATATAACTCAACCCAAAAACAAATTTTATGAATCCTCATTTCCGGAATTTTATTTATAAACCTCGTCTTCTTTTTTTTTTTTTTTTCTAATTTTTCTTTGTTCATATAAAAAATCTCATATTTATTAATAAATATTTTTTTTCTCCAATAAATTTTGTAGAAATATTATATAAGAAATAAAAACAATAAACTATTTTGGGGTTTTGGCCCGTAAGGCAGACGAGAATTTCGAAATCATTAGTGTCTTCGTGTAAGTCTATTAACGTTAAACGGTAAACAACATATGGACCATCTTTGTCTAATTGTTTATTAGCATATTGGAACTCTAAATAGCAATTATCTTATTAGTTTAAGAAGATCTTTCTTCTCTCTTCTACCCTACCTTATTATTTTAATAGAGACACACGATTTTTCTCGTTAAGCTTAAAATAATTAAAATGTTACTATATTCTATAAAAATTCAAGGAAAAAAGTTAAAGTTTTAAATTTCTTTAAAAAATAACCAATATAATTTCTTTTTAAAAAATAACCAATATATATATATATATTATATAGTTATATATATATAATACTATATATATATATATATAATATAGTATATATATAATATATTATGGTTAAGCTTGGTATGCAGGTATATATATTGGTTAAGCTTGGTACCGCAGGTAATTGTATGGTCTGTGTGGAAAATGTATTGTAAGTGTAATTGGGGTAATGAAACTTGCTTTCTAAACCTCCTTATACAAGATATCAGTAAGCTATTATTACACTGGAGTATTGCCAATTTTGGTAAAAGATTTGCAACAACTTGGTCGACAAAAATTGATTGCCACTTCATTTCAGCTTCTTTTGGCAAACAAAAATTAAAGTCAATGATTATTACTTGGATTCGGCCTGGGCAAGATTGCTATAAATTGAATATTACTACGTCTTTCAACAAATTTTCAGTAGTGGGGTGTGCTATCCTCCGAAACAGCCATGGTAACTTTGTTGCTGCAGCTTGTTTTACAATAGCTGCCGGGACAACTTATGATGTAGAGCTTGAAGCATTGATATGGGGGCTCTCATGGAGCATTGATAAAGGTTTTTATCCCATCCAGTTGGAAATGAATTGTCAGGATCTAGTTGTTTGAGTTAATCGGGCACAATGGACTAGAGCAGGTCCTTCGATTTTGCTACATGTTGCTAACCTATTGCATCTCCACTCCTCTTTCATTCATCGCATATATCATGAAGGAAATCAAGCGGCACAACTTTTGGCCACTCATCAAAGGCTACATCATTTTTCTCTTTCTTTTACCTCTTTTAATTCTTTTAATTCTTTGCCTCATTTGATTAAAAGTATTGTATTATTGGAGGCCATGAGGAACTTCATATTTGAGATATAAAATAAAAGGATCATTTTCAAAAAAAAAAAAAAAAAAGAAAAATATAATATATATATATATATATAATATATATATAATATATATATATATATATATATATAATTATATATATATTATATGTATATATATATATATATTTATTTGAAAGGAAGGGTTAACCTCGTCAAATTGCTCGTTCTAAAATAATTTTGACCATATATATATTATTTGAAGGAGGGTTAACCTCTCAAATTGCTCGTTCTAATAATTTTGACCAACAGTAAATCTCATCGCAAATCTAAATTCTAAGTTCTATTCATTTATTTACATTTTATTTACATTACGTTAAGATAAACTTACAACTATAAAATTCACATAATTTTAAATTAATTAAAAAAAGTTTAATTAGCGATTCAACTGTAAAGTAGTAAATAAATTGCTATTTTGTGGATAGTTAATAAAATTAGCGACTGAATTGGTTTTTATCGTTAATTTGTGTTTTTCTTATAGTATTAAAAACATGAATTTAGTACTAAAAATTTTATAATGCTAATATTATTAAGTTAAAATATGCATATTGATATAGATTAAATTTTGATTTTCTCTCTCAATACGTGCACATTTTCAATCAATATGTTTCTTATGCATATATTCTTCTAACTCTAAGCAAAGGTCAAAGGATACATTTGCATGTGATATTATAAACTAAAGAAAGAAAATATAATATGCAAAGTACAGCCAATCCCATTAACAAACAATAATTGTGCCAATGAAGCAAAAATAGAGAAAGGGGAATTGATGATTAAGAGCTTAAAAGTGTAATCTCCAACTTTTATTCCTTTGACTACTACTACTTAAATGAGTCAACTTCCAATTATACCCAACAAAATATTAGTATGATAACATTTTTTACTGCCTTTGAAACAAAAGAATAACAATTTTTCAAAAAAATAAATAAATAAATAAAAATTCCAAAAGCCAAGGAACATGCATGAAATAATCATCTTGCTAATGTTGTGCTTTAATTGGACAAATTATCAAGAAAGCTAAAAGACAATCAAAGACTCTCCCTTGACCCACTAATTTTATTTTTTACCCATAATTAATTAAATGCTTATGCCTAATAGATTGCATGAAAAAGGAAAGATTAAGCTAGGATTATGGAAGATCAAATTCGATTACAAGCATTTCTTTTGGTTGGCTAATAAGCCAATTAGAGTTAAACATGTGAACTTATGGACCCAAAAAAATCCACAAGCATAAACATTTTGTCGGGTTAAAGGTGCTCTTTAATCTTTGGTTGGTGGTAAAAATTAATTAATTACGGTTGTTTCATAAACGTGGCTTAAGGTTGGTCGTGTTATGTGCTTAAAATTTCAATTAGTAAAAAAATTTATCTTACTAGCAACTAATTAATCATAGCTAGGGCTACATATCTTCAAATGGGTATCTCTTGACAAGGACTCCAATGCTATTTTGAGATAGAAATTTGTGCCACGTACAGTTGACTTGCAATTGTTTTTAATGATATCTTTTCTTAAAAATGCACCATTTAACGTTGTGGTGATTAGTGAACTTTTCCTCTCTCTTTCTCTTTTTTTATTTTTTATTTTTTGTTATTAAATGCCATCTCTAAATGCAATATTTAGACTTTATTTTCGTTTGACAAGTTAAAATGTAAAGATGATAGCTAGCCAATGCGAATGCCAATTAGTTTTCATGTTCTCTTCAATGATTCAGTGTTATTATAAACAATCAAGTATAAACCGCCATTGCTTTTTTTATTACATAATTTTAAAGTAATGTTATCTTTATATACCATCATTAGTCAAAACAAAATAATAATAATAACCATAGCAGAGCAATTAAAATAATTTTATAGTCAATCTGGTATGATTTGATCGGTTTTTTCACATATTTAAGAAGTAAAAGATCTCGAATTTAAGTTCTCTTGACCACAAATTTTCACCAATTTAGCAAATTAAAAGGATGATTATTTCTATCATTTAATATGTTGTGTTATTTCAATCTATAAGGATTCCCAATAAATAAATAAATAAAAAGATAAAATAATCTAGCGTGAAAAATCTATGGAATCTTAAAAGTCGTTGCTCAAATTTCATCATTCCAGTTGTCTCTCCTATTAGAAGTGTAAACAAAATAAAGCGTATTATATATCCTTGGCCAATAGTTTAATTATCTTCTAATGCATTAAATTATGGTTTTTTTTTCC